AATATTCAAAACTGACATATGCTTTTGAAGAATTTCCTCCTTAGAAAGGGAGCTATGGGTATAAGTCGGATTACCACTTGTTGAATTAAATCTCAGTTCCTCTAAAATACAATTTAAATAATGAGCCTTACGAACAAAGACAGTGTTGTTACCTGCTTTGTCAGCAGGTACCAGTACATACTGATCGTGTAATCTATTTAATTCTTTTTTCACTTCTGAATTATTAAACACAGAAGGATAGTTGGTTTTATTATAATATTTATGAAATTTTGACGCCAGTTAAAAGATCGGGATTCCCTAAATTTTGGCCCTTTTAAAATTAATGATTTAAGGTCCTCATTATTAACTATATTTAAGTCACCAGTAATGACGTGTCCAGAAGGACTATAGTTGTAGGGTAAAGAAGAACTTGAAAAGGAAGGAAGATTATGTATCAAATGCTCAATATCAGGGCTCTGTAAAGTTTTCTTGTAATTAAAAAGACTGGAAGCAATAGTCGATGTATATTTGTAGGAAACACAAATTGTAGTCTTCAACTTGAAATATGGTGGAATACAAGACTGGACCCTTTTGTGATTAAGAATATTACTTATATTAATGTCAATTCCCTTGTTGGCATATTGAAGTTTAAGGGAAAACGGATTGTTTTAGCTGCATTTTCTTCTGTAAAACGTGTCAGTTTAAAAGGCCGATGATTTGCAATATCCATAACCACAGATCCGAGCCTGTATTCTGGTGTCGAGGAATAAAAAAAAAAGGACTTTCCTTGACCGTTTAAAGTAGACTATTTAAAAAGTTTCAAAAGAACAGAGTAAAGTTTGGTGCGAATGTGATGAAGATCTAACTGTTGATTTACATAAGGTAGTAATGAATCAAAAGAGACATCGTATATTAAAGGTTTGTATTAAAGTATTGTAAGACCGATGCCCATGACTACGCTTATATCTCTGTGTATGGGTAAAAAGTCCCATCACATTTACATTGTTATACTGTGGACTGGAAAGATTCCCAACACTATCGACATTGTCATTGCATCCATAGGGAAAGACTATGCCTAGTTTTCTAATCCAATATTCTTCTCGTTGTCTACGGAAAGGTGTACTCAGTGATGGACTGTTTGTATGATGGTAAATCTTTTCTAGAATTCTAACTTTCATTGACAAAATAGAATGATCAGGTAAATTAAAATACTTTCCAATAAAAACTAACTGTCCAATTAAAAAAAACTACGCATGTCTTCAGATGCTTTTAAACTTATATAAACTGAATATTAAGATGATTGACTTCCTACTTCATCCTAATGCATGTAGGAGTCGACAAATGGAGGAATTCACTTTAGTGCACATTTTATTGATAATACATTATCTATTGAAATTGTAAGATGTATAGCTGTTTTACTTTAATTAATTATTTATAATTTAATTTTGTTTGTATTCTAGCCTCTGATTGGTTAATATCCAAAAAAGGAACACAAATTATTTCTATATAACCTGGTTTGGTATGGGGACACACCCCCCTGACAACCAGCTGAATCATCTGTATCCTTACAATCCTCTCATTTCCAGTCCTCGGGATTCATGGAAAATTCCAGATTTAATAAATGTATCTTTAACTTCAAAAATAATTCGATCTTACCACATGTAAACAAACAACAAGGCTGCTAGGCCTATGTATCAGTTTTACCTCCCCTCGCTTCCCATCACTTCCGTTACTTCCGTTACTACGGTTGTATTACTGAGCGGCAAATTTGAACTAATAAAAAGCAACGAAATTTTACACCCATTGTTATTTAATGATTTTAAAATTAAATTATAAGGAATGACTCTAATTCTTGGCCAAATTATTCGAGTATAACCTGGTTTGGGTCAGTTTACGCTGTTTTATAATCCGCTTCGCGGATTATAAAGCGTAAACTGACCCAAACCAGGTTATACTCGAATAATTTGGCCAAGAATTAGAGTCATTCCTAATATAATGAAATATGAAGATAATGAACAGTTAACAAGCTTAGAAGTCCATATAGGAACAATACAAATTAGGTGCAGAGAAAACACGGACCTTTAAAAACATCAGAGGGGGATCTGGCGCCATGGATGAGTAAGCATCCCCTCTCGATCCTTGTTCCGTCTGCTCTTTGTCAGGATCGGTCAAACGAAAAAATCATAAGTAGTTATATTTGAAGTCGTCAAAGTATGGAATTTGTTTTTTATTTGTTATTGTTTGCATATAAACATGTATTTTATACATATTCCTATAGCAGAGTAATCTGGTAGACAATCAGATTTTCAATTATGGGAGTCCATTAAACTTAACAGTCTAATTAAACATCTCTTATTCATCTTATAAAATCATTTCAATTTTCACTCGGCGGGTGTGACCGGTCGGCAGGGGGTGCTCACTCCTCCATGGCACCTGATCGCACCTCTGATGTTTTGGAGATCCGTGTTTGCTCTGCTCCTATTTTGTATTGTTAAATGGACTTTTGAGCTTGAATACTGTTCCTTGTCTCCATATATTTCATTCAATAAAAGTGTTTACCACCGATATCCAAATTTTCTACAAGTCACGAGAAGCTTTTACAATTATATGTGACTTTTGTACAGTCTTCGTTTTATATTGAAATCAATTTTGATTCTGATCAAATTAAGCACTTTTTTCTCTGAGTTACCCGCTCACGGTGGGTGCGACCGATTGACAGGGGATGGTTACTCCTCCTAGAGCCTGACCCTACCTTTGGAATTTCCAGGGGTTCGTGCTTTTCTGTCCTGTTCACATATTTGTTTTGTATGTAGGTTTTATGGGATCCAAAACTTCATAAAAATCCTTACGAACAAAGATACTAGCGGGTTCCAGTAAATGTTCGACCAAGCCTCTTTACTCCTCACTAAAATATTATTAGCAGTAAAGGAGAATCTTCAGGAGAACTGTACAACGATATATTTAAAATTGGTGTAAATCAGATGTGGATACTTAAAAACTCCAAGGATCTTTTAGAAAATTTGAAATCACAAAATATTACCAAAATCGTTAACATCAAAACGTATGACTTTTCGACACTTTATAGAAGCATTCCTCACGATAAATTAAAGTCTATCCTTTTTGACATCATAGACAGCTGCAATTTCAATAAAAATGGAACTCGTAAATTTACTTACCTTTTCATTTGTAATTTGCAAAATTATTTTGTTTAAAAAACATTCTGATTATACACAGAAGTACTCCGAAGTTGATATTTAAAAGATGCTTAAGCTTCTGATTGACATTATTTATGTAGTTTTTGGAGATCAAGTCCTCCAACCATCTGTTGGAATTGCCATGGTTACTAATTGCACCCCGTTATTTGCGGACCTATTTTTGTATTTATATGAAGCAGAATATTCAAAAACTTCTACATGAAAAGAAGACGTCTCTTGCTGTTGCCTTCAATTCAACATTTAGATACATCGACGACGTTTTAACCCTTACCCTAACCCTGACGTTTTATCAATTAACAATATTGATCTTTTACATTCCTACTTCATAGTGTCGGACATACTAGTATTTGTTTTATATTTGGATATTTTACTAGATAAAGATTTTAATGGTAACTTAACAACAAAACTTTATGGTAAACGCAATAACTTCAACTCTTCTATTGTCAACTTCACTTACTTTTGTAATAATATACCTTCATCACCTGCATATGGAGTTTATGTCTCCCAGTTGATTGGATAGGCAAGAGCATGCTCTATGTACGAACAATTTCTCAAACAAGGGAAGTTTTTGACAGATAAGACGATGGTACAACGTTATCAACTCTCTCGTTTAATGTCAATATTTTGAAATTTCTACGGTAGATACAATGACCAATCGTTGTTAAATCAAATGTTAGTTGACATTTTACATACATTTTGTTAGGCCATTAATTCACAATGAATTGTCGACGGATTGTTCTGTTTGCCCGATCACGACAAGGAGCACACGGCGGGTGTGACCGGTTGACAGGGGATGCTTACTCCTCCATGGCACCTGATCCGTCTCTGATGTGTTAGAGGTCCGTGTTTGCTCTGCTCGATTTGTTTTGTTTCAATAGACTGTTGACCTTGTTCGGTATCTTTATATTTTGATAATCACTGTTCGCTATCTTCACTTTGTCACTATTACTTTTTCAATTAAATGTTATTCAAATAAAAGGGGAAATTTGGCCTTTACTGTACCTTTCATTTCCTGTTTATTTCATTTGATGCATAAAAAATTATCAAAATAAAAAATTAAAACAGAAATAAACTTTCACTTAGAAATTATTCAGTACGAGTCAAGTTACAATCCAATTGAAATTCCAATTACATTGCAATTGAAATTCCAATTACATTGCAATTGAAATTCCAATTACATTGCAATTGAAATTCCAATTACATTGCAATTGAAATTCCAATTACATTGCAATTGAAATGAAATAAATCATATCATAAACATTTCAATAACCTATATAGTCGATAAACTTCTAGACTGAATCAGAAAATATGTTTAGAAGTCACAACACCACTTTTAGGTAAGCAGTTTCTTGAAATTAATTTTAAATTATAAAATATTTTAATTTTGTCTGATATCTGGCTTAACTTTTGCTAATGATGATTGTTATTACGGAAAATTATTTAATATTGGGAATTTTCCGCCAAAAGCTCGACTTCCATAAGCTGAAGCCTTACTTTCCTTCATTGATACTTCACAGACGGCTGGTGACATTCAAGGTGTGGACAGAAACTTCACATAAAGCTGGTGATATCCTGCGAGAGGATATACACGATATCCAGCAAGAGGATATACACGATATCCAGCGTGAGGATATAAACCACACCTATATCTGATGACAAAGAAAGGGTGGATAAATACTTTACCTTATGCTGTTGTCTAAAGTGTGCATAGACCTCTTACTGTTGAGAGAAAAAATTATATATTTATTTTGATATCTAAGTACTGTACAGGAACATAGCAACATAAAAAATTAAACATAAATGATGTTATAAATATCTATGATAATTAGCATCAACGTGTGCTTCAGTGAAAGTTTTATTTAAATGCCATTCCTCCAGACACTGTAAAGCCAAAGGCTGATAGTCATAGTAAAACTTGTTTGCGAAAAGGTTTTTCTTCGACACCAGTTTATTCAAATCGCCGATGCCAAACACACAGATGAAGTGGACGTATTTCCCATGGCATTTACGCTCCACATTCCAGGACACGGTTACAGCGATCCATAATCTCCTTACGTTCACACCTACAACTGTATTTTTAAATCGATCATGATAAATGACTTAATTTATAGGAAATTTTAGATACAACAAGATCAGTTTGTGAAACACTAATGCCCCCGTACGACAGCTCATTGCTAAAGATTTAATTGAATTGGGGGAAGGGGTTTCAATACATCTATAGTTTTTAATATTTCAAAATAAATATGTATGAAGAAGAATATATATGTATAAACAAGAAAAACCCTTCTCTATTACTGAAATCAAAGCCGGAGAATTAGTTAATTTCTATCTTTCAAAATCTATTGTTAATAAAAAAAATCCACCGAGAAAAAAATGAACCGAAGCTTACAATTACATGTTATACTCACTATTGTAGAAGACACCTGGAACATTGAGGCGACTATTTTTTGCTAAAGTCGCCCAGAAGAATTCATCAGGACTATAAGTGTCTTTTAACCATTCTAAAAGTCTCTGAGCTCTGATGTCATTGATTGAATAATTCACAAAACTACGACTAAATACACCATACGCACTCCCTTTTGCTATGGTTATATTATAGGGCGGCGGATACTTTCTCTTGTTTATAGGTTTCACCTTATTACCGATGACTTTATGTGACCTTTGAAAGCGATGACGCCATTTTTCAGCACTACGAACCTCGATACTACTTCTGCCATGGAAAAGTTTCAAAATCTTAACTATTTCTAAATTAGTTTTGAGGGGATATTCCTGAGACGGTAGATTAATCAAGTATTTCCAACGAACCTTTGTTGTTTGCAAAAGATCCGTCATACAGTTCAGATCTGCTTGCAACCGAGAAAAACTTGCATAAATGACCTCCTCAGCTTTCGAAACAATGAAGACGTTTGGAAAACAACTTGCTATTGCCTTTATGGCTTTATGAAGTGATGCACTAGAACTCTTGTCCACGTGAATACAATAAATGTTGTGTGGTCTGTAGATGGCTCGGAGAAGTTTTTCAGTTTGGACGGCATGTTTATGTGTCAATATTGTATAAGCAAGGGGAAAGTTGAGCTCCTCCTTGGAGACAATGAAATTTTCATAGTCGTAAATTTCAGAAAATCTATTACAGTTTTTAGCTTTCATTTCCATATCTGCATCATTTGAAAATTCATATTGCTTTGATTTCATTACATTTCTAGCATGTTTTATGTAGAGTTCATCGCCTTCTATTATTCTTTGACAGTCAACATCAAAGACTAAACGCCTTGGACTATGATGTTTCAAGGGATAAGGCTTGGCAATCTGTACGTTTGAGGTAATCATTTTCTTTAAAAGTTTTGTTTGATGATTAAGTTCCACATACTGGAGAACAAGGAATAGGAATGTAAGCGTGGTGACGAGAAAACCGCATCCAATTAAGACTTTCGATCGTACTCGAACCATCTTTCATTAATTATTGTCAAGATGAATTCATTCTGAAAGGAAATAGAAGAAAATGCATACTCATGTGAAATTTACTCGTTTTGATGTCATACGAACTTTAATTAAAAACAGTTTAGTTAATTCATGGCATACTCACGGAGTATCAGTATGTCACCTATCATTTTTTTAAGACCAAAAAGTACAATCTTCTTTTTATTTTTATTATTTTTTAAAAATTTTTTATTTTTTACAGTTTATACCTATACTTTCCATGTCTGTATCGAATTGCTTTGATTTCATCACATGTCAAGCATAATAAATATGGAGTTCATCACCCTCAATTATTCTTTGGCAATCAATATTAAGGACTAAACGTCGAGGACTATGCTGTTTCAAGGAATTAGGTCTTAAAATCTGTACGTTTGGGGTAAACATGTACTTAGAAAGTTTTGTTCTGCTCACATCGTTGCAGTTATTAGACTATATCTTTCAAAAAATAATAGTTTAATGTTTAATTAACTGTCGTGTGAATTCTATTCAGTTCTCATTAATTAAAAAAAAAGATTGGCGTTATTTATCTTCGCATTAGTTTCCTGTGAAGTATAAACATTCGTGCGAACAGGGCATAAATGAGGCCTCATTAATCCGGACTCTAAAAATCCGGACGCTTCAGCTTCCGGACGAAATTTGTGGGGAATAATATATATTTATGTATACCAAGTGAAATGGATTTTTAAAACTTCTGAGAATAGTATATTAAGAATCAAATTATTATTTTTTTACTTTGTAAGCGCGGTATGATAATTTGTTGGCACTGGCAGGTGCTTTATTCGACAGATGACATCCAAAAGTAATACTTCAATGCTTATATTTACATTCTCTAATTTTCTGTCTTTATAAATGTTAATTTTCATTTGTCTTATAAATTATAAAATTGGTTTGGGTAATCGACAGAAGAACATTTTGTCAGGGAAAGTTATAGATAACGGAAATGAATATTGACAGGAAGATAAATGACAAATAAATTTTAAACGTAAAATTGTTACGATTTTACAAAAAAATATTGGGTAATATTATTATTTTTAATTTAATGAGCATAGCAATACACATTATGGTGGTCCTAATTATTAAAAACGTTTGAAGTTCCTATTGTATAATATTGTATCTTGACGAGGTTTAGAAAAAAAAATGTTTTCTTTGTTAATTTGGGAATTAATGTGCAGATGTTGCAGCCCGCGTAAGCGTTATGTATTTTTTGAATAGCTGCAACGTTAAATACCGTAATAAGCCGAGAAAAACATTTTATGTTCAGTTTTATTTCTTTATAAATTATCGTACAAATTACGATGTTGAATACTGTTTTGTTGATATGTACGTCATTGTATGTTTCATTGATGTAAGAGCAAACTGCTCGGGTAATCTATAAAGGTGCAATACAACGCAAAATGTAATAATGACGCAAAATGTAATTAACAGAGACTATTACATTTTGCGTTGTTATATACTGTGTCGAGATCAACGCAAACGACCGGTCACAACCGCCGTGTGCTCATTGTCAAGATCGGGAAATAACGGAAAATCAGTGTAAAAATAATGGCCTAACAGTTTGTATGAAAAACGTCAGTCAGCTAAAAAAAAAAATGAATATCCTCTATAAATTTGAGATAAATGTCAAGTATAATCTTATTTCCAGGAGTTGGAATCTGTGAACGATGAGGTAATATCTAGAACGGCTCCATTTTGATTTTTTTTTAAAAATACAGGACAGCCTTAACAAAATCTTCCCTGGAGCCTTAATCGTTCCCGAAAATAGGTACAAACACCTGAGTAATCAAGGATGCATAGCACAAACAAAATTGATGCTTGGATTGATATATATTTTTTGACTGATTTAGAATAGAAATGACATAAATAATAAGTCCCTAAAATATAAAGAAATCGTAAGTTTTCTTGGTGCTTAAATGTGCGACTTTGTTTTGTTTTCTATATAATTCTATACAAAATTGTGTATATATTTTTAACATTGCTACAAAATCTTATAAAGGTCTCCCACTTTACCCGGTGAACATTATTCAGGTTACTTATTTGAATATAAATCTATGAGAAATTTTGCTTATTTCTGAAAAAAAAAAATGTTTGTGTTATTCATCCTTAATGCTAGTGATTCTGCACTCCCTGTTATTTTCTCACAGGGACGTTGTTTTCATCCAATATATAGTACGAGTTTTGACAAAGCATGCCATATTTATACACTTTTAGACCTCCTCCAAACTATCGGAGCTCCAGGTTGTTCTGTATATGACTGTAAAGACTGTAGCCTATCCCTGACAAAAACAAAAATATAGTAAACTATAGTTTACCATAGTATCAAAGTATTTGCTATTGTAAATCAGTGTTTTTACTATTAATTTCAAATAGATATATTTCATCCAGGTTTCCAAATGGCATGCAATTTTCTGATATTAAAAGGAAAAATAACTTGTATACTCATACTTATTTCTAAAATTACATCATTAACCTGTAGCTAAACTAATATTAAGGCTCTCAAAATAAGTTCTAGAGTAAAGTTTTATAGTAAATTAAAGTATTTAAGTATTTACTATAGCTAACTATAGTAAACTACAGTGATTTTTGAAGGGGATGTAAACTTTCTTCCAAATGACAATTGTGTCCGTTAATGTGCATCCAAGTAATGAACAAATGTTAACTCTTAAAGAACTGCGAACGATAGTATTGTTCTCCCGCCTACTTCCAAGTCAGTTTTCAAAAGTTAACATATTTGAATGATTTTTCAGATCTATATAGATATTTATAGGAATTTTCATAAAACATTACTTCTTTGGGAAAACAAAGAGAGATAACTCTATAATTTTGGTAAAACTTGAGTTTTTCACTATAGAAATCAACGGAAAACGGAAAATATTTTTAAAACATCTTTCCCCCGCATGAAACAAAAATTCCTTTTTACAGGTAATATGGACTGTCATTTCACAAATTCACACCAAAGCTTTTTGTGTTTCACGGGGGGGAACATATGTTTACAGACAAAAAAAATACAAAAATGCTTATTTTTTTCACCAATTTCAAAGGGGTTTACAACTAAAACATTGTATTTTGTTAATAATATATGTTTAATTTTATATGAGTAAAACATAAGAAAAGATTTAAGGAACGTTTATTCATATCCAAGAATATTTTAAAATGTGGTGATGCTTTAAAGCCCGATTTCTATGAAAAATATCGTCTACCCCCCTTATTTAAAGAGCTGGAATTAGGGGTAATTAACTACTTAACACTGGAATTAAATTTAGCAGTCAATTACCATTGAACTGTTCTTTACATTCAACAAAGATTTTACGGCCAGATTGCCATTAGTATTGAAAAAAATGGGTGTAAAATGTAGGCGGGAATCGAGAGTTAGCGTGCGTAGTTCTTTTAATTCGATAAACCTCTGTCTTTTGTTACACATGATTTAAGTCTTTTCGGAGTTATTTAGTCACATAAAGTGCAAAGTTCATAATACATGCATATTTTTCTCCTCTTTTCAATGAAGTTCAGTTATATATATATAGTAAATATTTTAAAACTTTTCAAATGCCCCTCGAATGTTTTATCGATCTGAACTTTTCGTGAATCCGAACAATTTGATCGGGATTAACAAGGCTCCACTATCAATAAATTGAACAATTAATCCGCCATACAAACAACTGAAATTAAGCAAGACTAAACTACACTACATACATCTGATACATTCTGAGTAGTTTTCATTTTCCGCACATACTTTATCCGTCATCTGAATGATTAAAAAAAGAACAGCTGTTGTAAAAGGAGAAAAAAGTAGAATATCTTACCCCGGATGATTATATCGGTATCAATTAAAGGTCACCGAGACCTCGGTAAGTGACAGTGTTGTAGTGGTCACGGAGAGACATGTTTACTTCATGTAAAATATACATTACCGACAGAGAGCTGCTTAAAGGCATTACATTAACAGGGCCACTGTATCAAGACATTAGCCATAAAGAGAGTATTGAATGTTTTGTTTGTTGTTTTTTTTAAATTTAAAACTGCCATAACTATTTTGATTTGAGATTATGTACGCCCCATAAATCAAAATCGAAACTATATTGACGAGGGGTCTGTACACGATAAAGTGGTTAGTATAGACGCTGACAAATTATTTACAATTCAATAAATTTCATTAAAAAATAACACAATTAAGAACAAGATGTGTTTGTGAAACAATGATGTCCCCGTATGGCAACTTATAGCGAAGTAAACTTTCTCAAATGCAAATCAAATATATTGGTACCCAAAGTAAGGTCTTGTCTCGAGGAATATACCTGGGAAATATGAAAACCACAGCAGCAACCATTGAATGGATATGGAAAAGGTTAACGTTTTTTCAAAAACTCCAAGGACAAGGTCAAAGTTGTTGGTATCCAAAATCAGGTCTTCTCACAAAAATACACATGTGAAGTGTGAAAGCCCTAGCACAAACTGTTCAAAAGTTATGGCCAAGGTTAGAGTTTTCCAAAAGTAAGTCATACTCCAAAGTCAAAGTCAATGGGCTTTAATTGTTGGTATCCTAAGAAAGGTCTTGTCACAAAGAATACACATGTGAAGTATGAAAGCCCTAGAACCAACTGCTAAGTTACGACCAAGGTTAAAGTTTTCCAAAAGTAAGTCAAACTCCAAGGTCAAGGTCAATGGGCTATAATTGTTGGTATCCTAAGAAAGGTCTTGTCAATTTTGACCCCTTGACCTTTGACCTACTTTTGAAAGGACAGGGGTTAAATTTGTTATTACCCAAGGGAAGATCTTGATCTTTTGGTCATTACTTTTGAGTGCTAGGGCTTTCCTATTTCACAAGTGCATTTCTCGTGACAAGATTTTCCTTAGGTACCAACAATTTTGACCCTTTGATCTGACCTTTGACATTGGCTTACTTTTGAATGACCTTAGCTTGGCCAAAACTTTTGAAATACTAAGGCTTTCAAATTTCACACGTATACCCTTTTGACAGGATCTTTCCTTGGGTAACAACTTTAACCCTTGTCCTTTTCGTTTGACCTACTTTAGAAAAACTTAACTTTGGCCATAACTTTTGAATGGTTGGTGCTAGGGCTTTCATACTTCAAATGTGTATTCCTTGTGAAAGGACACCTTTGCTTGGTAAAAAAAGACCTTTGCTTGAAAAATCCTTGGGTAAACGCAACGGAAGTGCATAAAGAATGTATTACCTATAACGATAACATCTGAGAGATTGTTTGACTGACGTAATAATCTATCTCGGGTGTTATCGTTATAGGTAATACATTCTTTATGCACTTCCGTTGCGTTTACCTAAGGATTTATCAACGCACTGAATGTAATCGTGTTTGAGGATTAATTTTGGGATTCATACGAGATGCAGAGTCAATTCAATAGCATGAACTATGACAGAAATATATGTAGACACAATGTGATCCGACATTTAGGTTTAAATAAAATAAATACATGTTTTTAACCCCGAAAAACCAGCGGGGGTACGATGTAAACAAACGGAGTGACATACCTTTCTCTCTTATAATGTAAATTAGGGTATTTTTTGTATGGAACTATTATAATTACGCGTTTTTCCCGACTTTTCCTATGCAAACATGTTAAATAACTGTAATAAATATAATTTGTGAAGAAATGTCCAACAAGCCTCAGGGTTGAATATTCCGCAAGTACCTGTGATCTAGATATTATAAATGCCATACATGTTTCGGCTGCTGGATCTGACCTACATTTACTGGATGAGTAAACAGGTTAAAGGTTTTGAAGCAGGTTTATTCCCAATTCACTGTCCTTCTTAAACAAATGCTTGAACTATATCGTACTACATGTAGTATACAAGTGAATAGCTGACCACTCTTAGATTTATTTATACATGTATATGTATCTTAAATGAAACTATAGCAGGTGACACATGCGTGCCTTGGAACAATCTAGTAAGAATTAGGAGTAGTGATTTGAAAAATTGTTGACAGACTAAACACGCACAGACGATGAATACCATCTTTTAAACCACTAAAGCTTAAAAAAAGCAGAAAGTCAAAGCTATAACTTTGATAACGATTTAATCTACAATATCCAACACGTCAACGTTACGATAAAAACACTTAACGGAATAAAACGCAGAAAGGATGGAACGTCGTGGAGTATTATCGTCATGAAAATAAATAAGAGGTTCCGAATAATTTATATGAGAGTACCCAAACAGCATACCCTCTCTGGTAAGAAATATAAATAAATCACAGACCTTGCATCACGGAGCATGCGCGCTCCATGGTTACCCTGCGTAGTGGTTAAACACAAAGTTCATTGTCATGGAAACGCTCCATGGCGCTAAAATATTTAAAATCACTGTAATAAAAATAAAACATCTCATGAAAAGACCGATTAATTATCGTGACTCTTCGCTGTGTAACGATAACGCCGTTTTCTCTGACGATACACTAATGTTCGAGGTTTGGTCACTAGAAATGTCTGGCAGTGGTTTATCTGCCGCCAAAAAACTTGTATCTGAAGCACTGTCATCTAAGCCGTCTCCCGTCGATAAAAGAGTCTTTTCTGACGTAACTTTAGCGTCATCACTGGGTTTTTCTGATATCATCGGTTGTTTTTCTATCTCATTATCCTGGTTATCATCAGTTTGCTGTGGTTTTTGAGGTTCCTGATTTTCTTTTTCCTTTTCCATAGCTTCCTTCTCTGCTAATTCTCGCCATTTCTTCAAGTTAGCACTGCAGGTCAAGATAAAATACCACTTATCATTTCTTAATCAAAATTCAGGATCTAATTTTACTGACTATGGACGATAGAGGTCAATTACCAACTAATTTGTATGATAAACGAGATGACTTCTGCTTTTCCATCGTCAACTTTCCTTATTTATGTAGTAATATGCCACCATCACCTGTCAATGGTGTTAAAGTCTCCCAACTTATTCGCTACTCAAGAGCTTGCTCTGAGTACGATCAATTTTCAAAGCAAGGCAGGCTACTCACTGACAAGTTGATATTGCAGGGATTTCAACAGCCTCGTTTAAAGTCAGCATTTCGTAAATTTTATGGTCTTATAATGACCATGTTAGCAAATATAACCTATCATTGGGTCGTATTTTGGCTAACTTGTTTCATACCAATTGTTAGGCCTTTGTTTTTAGTACTGAATTGACTACGGATAGTTCCGTCTACCTGATCAATACATAGGGCTCCCGGCGGGTGTGACCGGTCAACAGGGGATGCTTACTCGTCCTAGGCACCTGATCCCACCTTTGGAATTTCCATGGGTCCGTGTTTTATGCCCTCTTTACATATTTGTATTATTTGTGGATGTTTTTTTAGATTGATCACTTTTCGTTTTCTTTACCTTTTACTTATTAAAGACATTTTGCCTCACTGACATCAATTACATGTAAATTAAAAAAAAATATGTAAAAATAGAAACTTGTCAAATAAAACTAAAAGCGATATCTAGTAAATAAATTGGCAACTGTACAACTGACTCTTCCATTAAGGAGGATTTAATTTGGTCACTGTACAACTGACTGTAATTAAAGAGGATTGAATTGAGCAACTGTACAACTGACTTTTCAAATGGTTGTTTCATTAAGGAGGACTGAATTGAGCAACTGTACAACTAACTGTTTTATTATGGAGGGATTATACTTACATGGCTCCGTTCACCATTGGTTTTGTTTCTGGGAGGATCTGAGCCATCACCTCGTAACAAGGGAGGCAAATGCCAACAAGGAACCCCACCTAAAATGAGGAATCCTTTGGTATATAGTGACCATAAATATGTGTGAAAAGTAGAGGTCAACTTACATTGACAACATTCAAAATTTTAAAATTATGTGTTAAAAACAGTAACAATTTTAAAGTAACAAAACTCTCAGTTAAAAGTGCGTTACATATTGAAAAAAAACAACGATTATTAGCTAGAATATACACGTATGATATGCAGTTCTCATTTTGTCTCATGTGTTAATTATGGCTTGCTGATTGCAGTAATAATCAAACAGTTTAAGAAAATTACGTGGACAAAGTGCTCCAAATAAACAATGGCAGCACACAATACGTAAAAAGTGCAGAATTGACTGTTAATTAATGAAGGAGAACAGAAACTCAAAATGTTTTCCACAGCATTTCTTAATTCTTATATTACTAATATTCATATATCGGGATTCCGTTAGCTCAACTCTTTACCTCAAGATGTGGTAATTCGTTCTTTTTCTGTCTATCCATCATCGGCATAGGAGTCAGTCCCTGGGATCGTTCCTCGTCCCCCTAGGGAAGGTTAGTGACGTTAGTCAGATCGTGAATAAACAAAGTGAGGCAAACTGCCGCCATTGCGTTAAGAAAGGGAGACAAGTCAGTTTCACGATATATAATATGTTTATCCTTATATCTAATCCATTTTACATGTATTGTTGAATCAGATTGAAATTTTGATATTCCTTGTCTTGTAGATGAAAATAACACACAATAACGAATTAGTATTTTTGCCAACCTAAGAGAACACTATCATCTTATCAAATAAAATAGCATGACCTCTGAGTCCTTCAGTCGCGATACTATAGACTTCTAAGCTGAAAAATAATTTTGTTGCCTAAACATATTACTAACTAGTACTAAATCGTATAATATGATGGCTTAGAAGATTTCTGTGATGTATGATATCGTTGACAGAATGTTACTAAATAGTCTACTATAAAAGCTTGGAAGACTTATATGATGCAATTAATTTTGCTAATAATTTTTCTAAATAATTTAATTTTTCTAAATAGTTTTTCAGGTTAAAGATCTTTTTTTTTTCTTGTTTAACATTTTCTGGTTCCTGTTTGCTCAAATTCACAAGTGTTATATTAATAACTTATTTTCATTTCATCAAGAGGAATAAAACAAGACAGGATAAATATTATGAAACATATGACGACACAATCGTGCTGGTCACGTGCAGAGCGTTAGGCGTGTTAATCACCCTGAGTATCACGTGTACCTGGGATTCAGGAAGTTCGTTAACTTTATCGCGGTCCATAATGGGGTTCTGAACATAGCCAATATTGATTTTCTCTTGATCTCCCTTTAACGTAAATTTCAGATATTTTAAAAGACAAGTTGACAAATATAGTCAGGTATTGTTGAATATGTGAAATCAGTTTTTAACATTACTTCCCTAAAAATAGATTTCTGCATGGCTTGAAAATTAAGACTCTAAGATTACTAGAATCCTTCAAATCATGTGATTCCGATACGCGGGTGTTGCTATAGAGGGAGACATTACCTGCTGCCAGAACTCTTCCATGATGACGTCAACAAGTTGTACCTGGAGATCCCAGGGTTTATACATGGAACACAGGTCAGCCGCCGTCATGCTGTTGGCCATAACAAGACGTCTGAAATCACAACATCAATCACAACAATTACAAGACAACATAATCTCCAAGACAACAACACAATCTCCAAGACAACACAATCTCCCCGACAACAACACAATCTCCTAGACAAAAGCACCCAGAAAACAACACAATCTCCTAGACAACACAATCTCCCAGACAACAACACAATCTCTCAGACAACAACACAATCTCCCAGACAGTAATACAATCTTCCTGACAGTAACACATCTCGCAGAACAACACAATCTCCCAGACATCAGCATACATTTCAGACAACAAAACAATCTCCAAGCAGATACCAGCATAATCTCCCAGACAAGATAACAATCTCCTACACAACACCATCTCTCAGAAATTACCTCTGTAATGCTGTTACCTGATGACCTACTCGGTTTATCGATTCACTATAACCAGATTTAGTAATATACACAGAGGATATTCAATGTTTTGTTGTTGGATATGGAATTTATTTCACGAGTGAGACAGGATTTTTTGATATTTTTACAAGTGTGAAGCAAGAATGAAAATATCAAAAATGCCTGTCTCACGAGTGAAATAAATTCCATATTCAACAACAAAGCATTGAATTTTCTGTTTATTACATTTTCTTTATCTCTGCCTCTGTCTTTTCTTAAGACAGTGTTATAGGATATGACGTCATAGTTGAGCGGTTGAGACGTCATAGCTTAGCAATTGAGAGATTGAAAACATGGATTTTAGAAATATATATTTGGGAGGAAATTTACAGTTTCAGTCTCTATCAAGATGGTTTACTTACTATCTCTATCTTATGACAGGCCAGAAATCATTTTTACTTACTTTGATATCCTTTCACACTGTGACAAAATATCATTTTGGTATCCTTTCACACTGTGAAAGAATATCACTTTTGTTCAATAAATAAATCACAGTATTTCACTATTGAAAATGTAATAATACACAATATCACCCAGCATACAATATATCATGCCCATCTTTCACAAACTCAATTGCTAAGGATAGAGTCATTTAGTCTGTACTCTCTTTTAATAGCTATAGAAGGGTTCGGACAATTTTAAAATCCAACAATGTGGCTTTAAAAAGATATGGTTAGCACAGTAATTTCATTAATCTGAGTGAACTTTCCTATATATATTTCTCTGTGCTCATCACAGTTTCTTCTTTACCATACAAATCTGCGCCTCTCACACCAATAATTATCTTATTTCATAGTTATGGTGGCAAGAGGCTTTCATGTTTTCCCAAACAAGGTGTTTTCCAAAGCGTTACCAACAAAGCTCTCTTTCTTTTTAGGAACGTTTACACAATAAAAAAAAAACAACGACGAAAAGAAGCAGCTACGACCATCATGACTTCTAGCTCTTTAAAAAGACATGCAAGAACCAATGATCCGTCAGCATGCATATTGTACCTCTTTATAGAACTCATCAAAAATCGATTTCACAAGGTCAAGTTGAATATCCCAAGGTTTTGCGCTTGCGCATAGATCGCACCCCGTAATAATAACAGCTTGAAGAAGCATTCTGAGAAATCAAGAAATGCCCTATAAATTTTCTATTACTTTTACCACAGTCTGGCCAGTGGATATTTTTAATGTGTTTTTTTTGTAATGCATAGATCAATAGAGACTATGTTTTCACTGTACATAATTGAAAAAGATAGGTATTTTAGCTACTGTTTTGTTAAAGTTTTTGAAAAAAATGTGTTTCATATGTGTTTGAGAATTTGAAAAAAATATTCAATAAACACACCTGTGTTCTGCATTATCCCATGAAAACTCTCCTTTATCGGCAATATCCTGTAAGCGGGACCTATTTCCAAAGAACAATGCCAAATCTGTGGCCAGAATACAATGCCTAATATCACTCAAAATCTGAAATCAAAGAAAAGTTGTAAAATGCCAAAGACAGAGCTCGGTCTGAGATTGAAATTCATGTTTTAAACTTAAAATTTTATGAGTATGTCACCTGCTTGTATTCTGCTGAGGTAAGGTGTTTGAAAATATTGTGACCTTCATTCTGAAAAAGTACCAAAACATTTCTTCTACAAGATATTATAAAATAATAGATTAAATTTTAACTTGATTCATTACTATAGTTGCCAACATTCTTAATAAATCTGTAAGTTAAACTAATAAAAATATTTATTTTCTTTGAGGTTTCTTTAAGGTTTCTTTTCAGAAAAGCATGAGTATTAAGTAACAGTATTATCTTTCGTTTTAAGGAATGACAATTACATGCTAAATTATATCAAGTCCCTGCGAATCTGTTTCAGTCAAAAAATTTATGACAGAAATTGTTGCAGAGACCAGGATACCTGTAATATGGTGACAGTGTGGTTGAAATGATGGTGCTCCATAGTAGATGTCGAGTAAATGGCAGCCAGAGGAGCCGCGCTCTTGACCATAAAAGCATTCGTCTTTCCCCTGTGGTCAAGGTCATGACAGAGGCAAGCAATGTACAAAGCCAGACTCTGAAAGATGCATGGATTTCTTAAACTCATAATAGGATTGAAGCAATTGTATGTTTAAATTCCTTTATGCTAAAATTGTCTCTGAGATTCAAAACTGTCCTTAATCACTGTTAATAGAAAAATCTTTATTCAAGGAATTCAACTGGTCTCAATACCACCAATAGAACTTATGTTTAATAAAATCCTACATGATAATGCCTAAGTAGGCAGTCTTCTGAGAAACAAACATACATTTTTTAAAATTTTGAAACATTTACATATATTTCTAATATCTATATCTGTTGCGCAGAGAATTCTGGGACTGACCTCGATAGGCGTGAAGTGATGCTGGGATGTTTTAATGACGGCGAACATGGCGTGTGCGACAGAGAAGGCATGCGCCCAGTTGTGGTAGGGGACGTTCCGGTAGTTTTTGCGTACAGTCAGTGTAAACCGGATCATATCATCAATGTCAAACCTTCTAAACAAAATCAAACAGTGAAAGCCACTCACACATATACAACAAAAAACCTGTGTTTATGTTACAGAATTTGAAGTGAATTTTTATCATCATTCATAAGAAGATATCATTGAGAGTATTCGAGGAAAATTATATTAAACAATGATTTTTATTTTCTCTCCACACCATAAATGATAAAAACTTAACAGTTAGTCTTTAAGTAGTACAGTACGGTATTTCTTTATTTTAAACCAAAAAAAATGGCTTTAGTTCCTTGAATTATAAACAGGGAGAAATTTTGCGTTTTGTCAGAGATTGAAAATTCTCCAGGCATCAAAATAACTGTAAAAAGTTTTTGCTGAAAATTAAAGATCATGTCCTAGACATTTAGGATAACATCTTGAATTAATAGTTTCAGTTAAAATCATGCTTGCTTTGAAAATTAAATAAATAAAAATACAATTTTTGAAGGCACTCTAAATTTGTCAGTTATACACAAAATATCCAAGCATAACAATTGATTAACTTGCATACGTAATAAAAATTCAAATAAATGGTACAGATGTTATGATTTCATATAAACCAAGCTTTAATTAAGAACATAAATGTACAGTTATACATTCAAGCGCGGTCGACAAAAGTAAAAATGCTGGCGAAAATTATGTTAAATTTTAATAGTTTATTTGTAAATACAAAGTTAAAAGAATGTGACAAAACAGTTAAAAAGGGAGAAAAAATGATTTTAAAAATTCACTTTTTCTTTCAGAGCACCAAAATTGTAAATTGTTAGTGCTTCATTATCGTGGCCATGGGTCACACAAGTAAGTGAGACATGAGAATATATATGAGATTTATTTATGGACAAGAAAGTCAGAAATGTTGACCGTTTTAAAAATAGAAATTTATGTAGTTAGGAGGTGAATACATGTTTGTACGATTGATGCACATAGGAGTATAGTACACTAGCCCTCTAAAGTGGATTGAGATATAGAATTTATATCTTTAACTGAAAATTTGGTGTTGGGACTAAGTTCGAAGCTAGCTCTTTAGGAAACAAGCAGCCCGGGTTTCGTAACTTCTGTACATTCATGCATGCACACTCAATACACTCATCTGAAGTGTGATATTTTCTCATGGTCTATTTGCAACTTCCACATTTACTTTGAAATGTGAACTACGTACTCAGTTGCAGTAGATTTCATCTTAAAGCGATTAAGATCTATTTTTCTGGCAATATTTTATTTTTAAAATCCTGTTCTATCTTGAAGATAGATACAGGTTTTCATTCTAAACTCCGACTTTTACTCAATACTGCAAATTAAAGCAAAAATAATTAAACATCAACAGAAAAACACAACATCGATTATGACGTCACACAGCAGCGGAGATCATACATTAGTGACTTGTGGTTAGTACGCGGTAGGCGTGTTGCAGGATTTGATTGACACTCGTTTCAGTCTAAAGGAAAAAACGCACACTAAGTAAAAAATAAGTGGTGACCTCTAAAGAGCAAGAACCAGAGAGAGGCTACACTATAACGCTAAATGATAATACCTTTCTTCGTTTTTGTTACTACTGCAAAAAACCACAAGTGACAGGACTTTAATATCAGTTTTGAAAACAATACGGGAAGTTTTTTTTCTTTCAGCAAGATATTGCTTCTTCGTCACATTCCTGATATGACTTTGTCAATCTATACTTCAAAGTACACCATATGTGACCAATAAGCAAGTTTATGTAACAAAGAAACTGTCCTCATATTAATTCGCCGACCACGATAAAATAGAGTCGTGTTATATCACGTGACTTGTCAATATATTATGTAGTTTCTGATTGGTTCTTTGCGTCAAGCAGTGTTAGTGGCTGACTTACTGTGAGTGCATCTTAAAGATGTCCCTCATCATATACAGGACATACACAGGCTTGTTATCGTTGTCGATCGCCCAGGGGGAATAATCGTAACTAAAATGACAAATTGAAAAATACTGTCTTTAAAGAACTAGAAATTCTCTAGATTTAACACCCACTAATGCATTTTATTTAAAGTGAACAAGCAATCTTGATAGGTGTCATTTTTGTATGTATATCATTATTATTATGAAATCTCGCGTGACTTGAGAACTTGGACGTACTCTAGAATATCGGGAATGTCGTCAGGAATGGGCATTGTTTTGATCATCTGGTACTCCTCGTCATTACACTGACTGTGGTACGAAAGAACCTCTACCGCGACACGGTACTTCTGTTCTGACCGGCGGATCTTGTCATACAGCTAAAACAGGAAAGATATTTACTGACGTTTAAGGTATGATGTATAAACAATATAAATAATATAAATACAAAGCAGCAACTGATGACATATAACACAATTACTAACAGCTAGCAAACTACCGTGTCAAAACGCAGGAAGAAACAGTACTTGTCTGTTATGCTCGCAAATTGGAAGAATTTTGACATACAGAAACAAACATACACCATTGACTTCAATTTTTTTAACAAGTGGTAAGGTTCATCCTTAGTACATAATTGATCTTCACCAGCATAATGCACGTAAGAACAGAATCACTATTTAAAACAAATGCTTACTTTAGCATGGTGAAGAGCCAGTCCACAATAAATAGCGAAGGTTTCGAATGACTCTTCGTCCCCTTTTGTAAACACTCCGTCGATTTTATTTACCATCTGTACGACACCAATAATGCTGAAAGTATTAAACACAGGTTTTTTAACAAAATTAAAATGGGGTTTAATCATTAATATTTTGTGTCAGTTTTTGACAGTTTTTAAAATAAATGTGCGGGTAACATTTGAATATAAAGAGAACAAGAGACGTCTAGCGATAATTCAAAAGGTAAATAGCCTTTTTTTCTTCAAAATTTTATGAGCCAAACAGGTCGGCATATAAAGAAAAACTTAAAGTATGATGCTTACTTTTCCCTACATAGATCGCATACACTTTATAACTTATAGTTTGGCATACACACTTACTTTCCTCGGTTATAGATCGGCATACATAGTATGCTTTTAGTTCTGTATCCTGTCTGTAAGTCGACATCGCGGTTAAACCGGCTGTCCGTGTAGGCGTCTGCAATATTCAGTACCTCCCCCGTGGAAGCCACGTGACCAGCCACACCCCTATCCATTGGGAATCTGCATTGAAAAATAATTATGACTAATCATTACTTTAGCATAGTGAAGAGCTAGTCCACAATAAATAGTAGAATACGTTCTTGGTGTTGCCTCTTTTTTGTATCTCAATTTCGTTTCAATTTAATCTGCTTACTTGTTAACAATTATGTACAGAACGGATTGTTTACAAAACAGTTATTTTCGTCCAAAGGGTGAACATTTATCCCCCTGTATTTATCATGGACATCTACCTGATTTCTTTCTGAGGAATATGTTCCTCCACCCTGCCCGTGTCAAATATCCGCGCGTACAACTCGCGACTTTTCGTGTCCACCAAGAACAAGGACGCCCTATCGGCGATCACAAGCTTTTTGGCATAATTCTATAAGAAACAAAGAACGTTTAAATTATCTGAAATAAAATATATACATATTACTTCTACTTCGTTCACTTCAAGCGAGAAGACATTGAGTTCTAGCTTCATACTGAGTTGATAAAGACACTGAGTTCTAGCCTCATACTGAGTTGATAAAGACATTGAGTTCTAGCTTCATACTGAGTTGATAGGTCCGTTGTTGTGAGTCTGTATGAATTGTTCAACTTTATCTTTGAAAAAAAACCCAATCCTTACCATTATTTTCATGATGACTGTATCCATGCTGACTATGTCTTGGAAAATTGATCTGAAAGAAAAATGAAAAAAACTAGATTTATCAAAAACGTCTTGGGATAGGATAAGATATTTCAGTTTTTCTTAACATTTTTGAGATTCTAATAAAGGATACTTTAACATCTATATATTTTTATATATACTCCTAACCCCGGGAGAAGTCAACACAGAGATCTTCAAGCAACTTTTCCCAAAAATATCTTTAATCAACCAATGAATGAACAGTTTTCATAAAAGCACTAAACTTCAAACTGGTAAGCTCAGAGATCCCAGCTTTGGGGAAAATGGCCCTTTTTTTCCTTCCAAATTTTATTAGCTAAAACCAAGGTTGTTTAAAATATTTTGTTGTGCTGTGTTCCTTTAGGAGATACATATGCTAGATAAATGCTCTCCATATTTTAAAATTTAGTTACATGTATGTCAATAGGTAGAATATACAACAAGATTACCCTTTTACTGACTTGTGGCTCATAAAAAACAAGGTGTTCCTGTTACATACTTATTAACTTACATATTACTTATTTACTTACCAAGAAACTTAATTAATACTTAATTAGGTAATTATTTACTTATAACTTACTTAATAACTTACATATTACTTAGTTATTTACTTATAACTTACTTAAAAATTATCTTCGTATTTACTTCCTTGTTACTTACTAAGCTTCTTACTTAGTTACTTACTTATAACTTAATGAGTAACTTACTTTTTACTTAGTTACTTCTCACTTCCTTATTACTTACTATCTACTTGCTTATTATTTTCTTAGTTACTTACATACTTAATACTTAATTAATTTAGTTGCTTACTTATAACTTACTTAGTTACTTACGTATCACCTACTTAGTTACTTATAACTTGCATAGTTACTTACTTATAACTAACTTAAAAATATACGTATTACTTATCTACTTACTTATAACTTACTTCTAGTTACTTATTACTTACTTAGCTATTTACTTATTGCTTACTGTCTTATTATTTATCTAGTAACTTACTAATTTCGTACTTAGTTACTTACTTATAACTTACTTAGTTACTTACGTATCACCTACTTAGTTACTTATAACTTGCATAGTTACTTACTTATAACTAACTTAAATATATACTTATTACTTAGCTACTTCCTTATAACTTACTTCTAGTTGCTTATTACTTACTTAGCTATTTACTTATTGCTTACCGACTTATTATTTATCTAGTAACTTACTAATTTCGTACTTAGTTACTTACTTATAACTTACTTAGTCACTTATTACTTACTTAGATACCTACTTTTTACTTACTTAGTTACTTCCTACTTAGTTACTTACTTATTACTTACATAGTTACTTACTTAGTAATTTACTTATTACTTATTTAGCCACGTTCTTATTACTTACCTATTGCTTACTTATTACTTACTTATTACTTGTTACTTACCTAGTAACCTACTTATTTCTTACTTAGTTACTTACTTAAACTTACCTAGTTACTTATTACTTAGTTACTTACTTATTACCTACCTAGTTCCTTATGTATTACTTACTTACTTAATAAGTTACTTACTTATTACTTCCTTATTACTTACTTTAGTTACTTACCTATATATTACTTACTGTTTATTACTTATCATTTACTTTGTTACTTACTTACCGATCACTTAACTTATTACTTACTTATAACTTACTTAATTACTTACTTAGTTACCGCTAAAAGGAAATCATTTAGCTTCCTCTGCTTCATCATACTATTGTACATCTACAGCAGAAAAGATACAATCAACAAAAAGTTCATACTATTGTACATCTATAGTAGAAAAGACACAACCAACAACATTTCATTTATCATCTTAAAATATTTACTAAGAGTCTATTTCATTAACTGCTAATTTTGTATAAAAGATTTTAGTGCATTTCTAATCAAAGAAGGTGAAAGCATTAACTGAAGAAGCAGGTGAACAGACTCCAGGATCATGAACCAGAATTACACTTTCTCCAAATTTTCATCATTTGGAAGTATGCTTAGTACTTGTGAATTGGAACTCCTAATTTGCAGACACCCACAGTTTGATGATGCAAAATTTTTATTTTGGACTGTTTGACTTCAAATTTATTTTAGCATTATTTATGTTGTTTCATGATCTCGGAGTCAGAAGATATAGCACACCAAACCGAGCACAAATTGTACACATTGACGACGCAATACCCCAAAAGAATACCCCAAAAGTAAGGAATTAAACATTTTTGGAATCCCCACATATCATTGTTGTTTCTATCTAAAATAAAATAGTGCGACATGCGTAATCGGAACTCTTCTGGAGTATTCACAACAGACTATTATTTTACTCCGAAAAGAGTTTTCTTTAATGTTTGATTTCTAGGTAATTACATAAGCATGCAAAAGTGGGTAAATTTGGACATTTGAATTCATTCAAAAAGTTAGCTCCTGTTCTACAAAGATTACAAGGATGTACATATATAATCAAAGAGTCATGCAACATCGTAAAACCTCTTGATTTTTCTCTTAAATTTTACTACACAAAAAGAAAGGAAATTGTGTACAACAGCCCGATACCTCCATGTAATATACGGCAAAGCCTCCCCAAAGGATAATATTGACCACTATCTACATAGAAAATGGAAAGACTGTCAGACAAATGGCTGATAATTGGTCTGTTATGGCCGCTTCGTGACGTAACACATGGATTCCATTATCGATCATATCAAATACTCCTGTAAACTCTTTTGATCCAAAAATATATTTTTTTTTATCAATATTTCATAAATAAGTTAAACTTGTGTCTTATACACATATTTTCGAGAAGAAAAACATGATATGATAAAGATTTATTTATCCCCTCCCCCTTCCGAATGAGTTTGTATCTAAATTTCTCCATTTGAAATGAGAATTTAACGTTATGTTTTGACTTTGCTTCTCTTAAAAAGTGAGAAATTCTACGATAGTGTAACTACACAACAGGGATCCTCACCATTCTTGAACACGATTTTTTTTCATTAAGTAAACAAAGTATGCATTAGTATTTATCCTTGTTCTCGTTCAAGAACGGGGATAAATCTCTGTTTTGATTCTGCCTTTTTCGGTACAAAAGTAGAAAGAGTCGTGTTATTTAGTAGGTCATTCTACTGTTAATTATAGAGGTTAAGATTGTCATCCTAGCTTCTGTGCACACACTACTGTTAAAGAGCGCAAGATTACAAAGAGCTAAGACCCGGATGTAGCAAACACCCGGATGTTTACCTCCACGTATTCCATACAAATATCTGCCCACACTAGCATCATTTCTGCTACCTAGAATATCACATCGTCCACACAATTAAATACTTTTAATGTTTTGTCAATTACCTCAGACAGTATATGTACTGGTAACTAAATTATCGGCAATGAATAGATTCATCATACATAATTTCCATCGGATTTTATTTATTATCAAATACGATTTTCACAATAGTTTGCAGTTTCAAACATGAAATCGGATATGACCTCTGCGTATCTTACCTCTTCTTCTTCCACAGAGAAAGGCATGTTGCCGTAGTTTCTGTATAATTCAACAACACCTGTTAATAAATTTAAAAAAAAAAATGATTAAACAAATAAAATTATATACTGTAGATTCCTAAATATACGCGAGGAATTAATTATCGCGTAATTTCGCGAGAAGCACTCGTAGTACCAGTCCCCTCCCCATTCTTTTTAACTCACAGATATAGTTTTTGATGTACATTTAGTATGAAAATTTTCATTCAAAAACACCCCCTACTTTTTTGGCTGTAATACAGTCAAACTCTTCCAAGTTATTGTATTTAAAAAATGCCGAAGAGTTAGAAAATTTTCGATTTTGGGCAGTTGTCTTTTTGTTGTTGTAATTTTCAAATATGCGATGGACCTGATCGAACTGCTGTTTCTAAAACTCAATTTTAGAACAGGGAACAATTCGGCTGGTACTCATATCATTCCCTTTGAAAATCAGAATTACCGGAGTACTAATTAAAGACCTGCATAATAGATACACTGTATAAGGAACAGTTTGCTGATTTGTGGACGTATTGATAACAATATGTAGTACCTAGAATGGTGTTGCTGCCATGTAAGAGGGGGACTGCTATAGCAGACACTCCCTTTTCTGTTTCCACGCCGAACCCCAGAGGAAATCGAGGATCCTGCATAAAGAGAGGATATTAAATAGTTTTTTTGTTTCAAATCACTGATGAGCAATTTTTCGATTCCGAGTTTGTTAACAATGCAGTTGATCAATAAAGACAATAGCATTGTGAACATTTGTCAAACTGTAATTTAATCTTAAATCACACAACAAATCCAGAAATGGTACCAATTAATGCTAATATTAAAAACATTTTTATTAGTGTTTAGTGCGTCCTTAATTTTTAGAAAAATATACATGTACATCTAAAACATTGAGGATATGATATTTTCTATCGGAGAGATTCCTGCACTTTGTGACAAATGTGTTTTAAGTTAATTTTTTCCTTATCTAGCACCAATAAATGTCATGGCCCAGACAACAGGATAATAGTAGGCCATTCTGCAAGGAAAGATAACCCCGTTTTACTCTTTACAAAAGTAAAAGTAAACACTTTGTAACACTTTCTTCTTGTTATATATTTATTTTACTTATTTCTTTATTTATTTTAGTATATTAATTTACATAAATTATTTATATTTTGAAGATTTTTTTAAAAAGAAATAAGTGACCCTTTTTTTAAATACATAATCAAACACAATATATGTCGTAGACCTTTAGGTATATGTAGTTTTGGGTGGCACACGTCACGGCTGAGCTACAACATGTACAGAGCACATTGCCCTATGTGTATATAGAGGAAGCCAAATGTGTCACCTGCAATCAGCACAATTGGTGACGTCAGACAACAGAATTTGATGGTCACAACGATAACTTATCTGTGGCTGATTTCTTCAGATAAGTTGTATACTAAGTATGTAAACACTGGGTCGTGTGAACTCTTCATAAATAGACCAGGTAAATAAACATTCCGGGAATTCATAGCTGAGCTGTACAACATCACAACACATGATTTAAATTACAAATACAGAGGAAATATTTTGCTTAGGAAATATTAGAATTTTCACTACAAAAATGGGGAAATTTAATTCATGCCCAAAATAACAAAAATTAAAAATCTTTATCTATAATAGGAGTTTGGGTGCTCTTTACATAACATGGGTCTTTAATTCATAAAAAAGATACAGAAGAGCGTTTTAATGGGCACCTAAGGACATACACAACGCGTAGTTTTGGGTTTTATTTAATACCCTGTAGTTCCAATAATTGTAGGACTTTTTTGTGACTTTTATAATGCCTAATGATGCTTTTCAACTCTTCTAAATCAAATTTTGAGAAAATACCAGCTAAAACTCTGCTCTTGTTAATTTTTCTCTGAATAACACAATGATTTTCAACATTTGATATCTTTTCAAAACCCCTGGTGATGTATGCTGATTTTTTTGTCTAAGAACATCTGATGGTAGTTTGATTTTAAATCAAAAATATCTTGAAAAATTATCATTGGGTGAGGTACTCGGTAAGGTGCTGTATATGTACGATGACCTTAATTTGTAGTAACAAAAGTATTATAGCTGATACAGTACTAAGGTCCACGTTCGTTTTAGAAGTTGATACCGTTAGCCGTTATGATGGGAACACTTTTTTTTTTAATTTTCATTGGCCCTAGACTATTGTCTCCCCCACAGAAATCCGGATGTTTCAAAACTACAGTAAACTTGGTAAGATCAACTTCCTATAGATAATTAAGGTATACTTGTTTCGAAAGGGTTAACAATTCCTCGGATATAACTATTGCTTTGATTGTAAAGGAATATATTTTTATTGATAAAATTGAATTTAATTGATAAAATGTAAAATACTTTATCCTATCAACCAATCAAGGAATATTTTTTTTTTAAATTTTAGGATTGATAAACTTGTTACATATGCAAAACATTTGATTCCTGAACCCGACGAGAAAAAGAAAGATTTTTCTTACCCCCACAAGGTTCTGGGTTACCACCGACTCCTTGGTGTATGCCACGTAGGCTGGCAGTGTGGTGCGGGGTTCGATTCTCCCTACACATGTTGTAGGGGCGCGTTGGTTTCTAAAGAAAACAAAATCACACTTACATTTCATTGCCAAATGCCTAGAAAAAAGGGATATCATTTCAGTTTTTCACTATTAATGTGGATTTCAGAAACATTTTTAACTTGGAAAAGTAAGCATCTTCATCAAAGAAAGAACATGGGCGAACAAAGCGAGTAAAATGCCTATATTGTGCGATAAATTAGAAAATCAAAAATTAAATCTCAATTATGACAAAATTTTCTTTGATAGATCATTTAACATTAACGCATACTTTATGTAAAATGACCACAATTTCCACCAATTTCGCACAGATTAAAATTATTTGTTTATGAAAAAGCATTAACACACCAAAGAGGTAAAAATGATCCTTTTTATACTATAACACGTTTTTTTTTTTTGGGGGGGGGGGTTCCACACGAGTGGTTCTTCGCTCCATTTTTTTTTGAAATATGATATTCAAAGTATGTGTAAAATATACGATTTTGGGGTAACAAAAACATGGAGCAAAAGGCCCACCGTACCTTAGAAATTCACTTCCATATTTTTCTGACAAATATTTGAAGTTCATTTAGTCAAGGTTCACATCACAAACACGATTTAAATGCCGCCAATGGTAAGCGTGTTAGTCTCCAAGTAAAAATTGATACTCAGGATTTTTATTGCATGGGATTGAACTCAAAGATTTTCTTAAATCATAGAATGATTCTTTCCGAGAAAATTTTCCGCAAAAAAGTTTTGTTCATCATAATTTCATACCTTTCAATACGAACTTTACTCCAAATACTAAGTTCACAAGTTGAATATATCTTTTACACATTTTAAGCTATAGGCATTATGCATGCCTTGTTCGCCCATCTTCTTTCACGAATAATAATTCCCATCAAATGAGAGATACATGATGATTAGGGTGTTATAAATGATACTTACTTGCTACTTTTACTGGCCAAGAATAACTAGAGGTAAAAAAATATATATACGAATAAAACAATCAGTTATTTATAAAATTGAATAGTTTTATTTCAGTTAAGAATTCTTAAGTAATATTAAGATAGTACTTAATATATGCGTAAATTATGACCAATTATAACTCTACAAACATTTTCAGATCAGTTGATTATAAGGGTTTCCTTCCAAATGAATATTACAAATTATTATTTACTGTTTAAACTGATTTTAAAATAATCAAATGAATTGTTCCGAAATCATGTGAACATTTTCAATGATGAGTAATGAATATCTACCTGGTTTTGATCATCGACTAAATATAGGTTGTGTCCATCAGCGTTTACGGCTGTGAATAAGAAAAAAAAATTATCCTTTACAAATTTGCACTGTTTGTTTGGGATTATTCTTTCCTTCGAACTAGATGTTTATGGTTTCATAATAGGAAAGCTAGAGTGTATTTATAAAAAGCTAATCATATTTGAACAGCTTCAATTTAGATTAAAAGTCATAAGCCATGTAGAGTGCATATACTTTCAGGGTTTCAAGACAAGGGCATTCTGGGTTATGTCACGTGGTACACTTACATTCAGCTGCGCACGCAGCGAGTTCCGTGAACACTCGGGCTTTATTTGTTGTGTTGTCCTTCGTTAACTCCTGAAGAACTCGCCATTTTTTTGACTGAATACAGTTCTTAAAATCAAAAGATAATATTAAGTATATTTTCAACGGTGAAATACTGTAATTTATTCATTGAATTCCTTATCCATCTACAAAACATTGAGTATCTTCTATCTGCATGTATATATATTGCTATTGAGGGAAAAGAGTCACAATTTTACCGAAGGAGCTACACTGTTAGACGTTATATAGTGAATGGGAAAAGGCTTGTTATTTAACTTGTTTTATTGGCACATTTGGAATTTTCTGCTTTAACAAAACATACGGAATTTCTTACTTTGCACCCTAGAATTACGCCACATGTGATATGCATTTAATTTGCCCTTCATAGAGTACGAAGTGCTAAGTGTCATTAACCCGGATAATGACGTCACCATTTCAATCCTCTCCTGCACGCTTACCTTCCAATTACTCCGGTGGTCTTTAAATAAATCGCCTATGAATAAAAGAAAACAAAGCAATTGATTTTTTTGATATGCTATTCACAAATCTGATTTAATTGAACTTTTTTGATAATCGACATTTACTGTCTCAGAATATCTTTAGTAAAGGTAATGCAGTCACAAATAACGTAAGCCGTATATGAATATTACACTGATTTTAAATTTATTTTATAATTCACACACAATATCACTGAGGGACCCCTGTTTACACTTTTAATAACGTTAAAAATTTCAATACACCCGGTACAATGTGCACCACATCTCTGATGATTTAAAAGTCCAACAAACCTATGAAAAGGAATTCTAATATCTTTGTTCAGTAAATATGACTTCAAGTCTTAGACCAATGAATGAGTCTGTAAATTAATTTCTGTACATTTGGATTACCATGGTGATTAAGTAGACAGGGATGCACGTGCACCTGAGTCCCAAAATCCCGTAAGACAGCAATCCCATCCGTCACAACAGGGCCACGCTAATTACCGGAGGTCCATTAATACCATTACATGTATGTTTATACAAATCCTACATGAAAAGGTTACTTTCTGAAAATAACACTTTACCGAGACCATTAAATGCCATTGATAAAATCGTTTTTGAGGCCTTTAGAGCCATGAATATGGCATTTTGTTTCACAATGCAGGGATTAATCATGATGCACTGTGAATGGTTTCCTTTTTGAAATAAGCTCAGGGTATTTGAATTATATGCAAAAGATATATGTTTATCATGCAAACAAAATCTTGTCAAAATGTGTAATATGCTTTGTACCTGTCATGCAAGTATTTGTGAGTTTATGTTTTGTTGAAGATATTAAATGCATTGTATCCCTACATATACGGTGTGTTTAATTCTCTATGCGAACGAACATGCTGCAGCATTAGCCATTTTACTGCTAAATACATGTGCTAACTTGTATTTTACATCTGCAGTCTAAACAGGCAATAGCAGCCTACCATTTGTAAGGGTCAGGGCATTGTGACCTTGACCTTTATGTTTCCGTTGTGACCACTGCCGAACTCTGTCCTCATGCACGTGCTGAATCACAAAGGAATCGAGGAAATCCGGATTGTCAAACAAAAACTGGGTCACCGTCTCAGTCTGAAGATCTGCAATTTTAGAAGTGCAAAACATCAACAAAAAAAAAACTTCAACAAGAACGTGCGACCCTAGGATTATATTGTTTTTGATATAATTTGTTTACTATCAAAAATCTCTTGTAAATCAAATATGCACGCTGAAAATATGTTCTTCCTAGTAATTCAGTAATGTGAATTGTTTTTCAAGACAAATACAAATTATTACAATACAACAAATTTATTATTATATTTCTGAGTATTCGTCAACTTGGAGAATAATCAGATATAAAATGTTACTGTCAATCTTTCTTTCTCCAAGCAGATGATGTGGACTAAATCTATTTTGTTAAAAAAAACAGCCATAAAATCCTTGAAGCCGGGTGTTTTTTATGGTGGCCAGTAGCAAAAAGGAAATAAAATCAAATTAAAATCCTGAAGGAAAGCTTGTCTGATAGTCCGTAGAAACTGAAGTTTTTCTTTATATATATCCAGAAAAAGGAAAAATGGAGAAAGGGGAGGGGGTTACCTAATTATAGAGTAATAATTGTCATTTCAGAGAGACCTGTCGTGTGTTGGGACGATACCACTTACAAACAATTACTCAATGAATCCTTTTGTTTGTAAATCAAATGACCCAACTGTATAACAAAGCAGGACTTCAACCATAAACACACAACAAGTACGTAACCTTTAATGTATATATAGAATCATAAAGGTGCAAACAGTTGAAAGGTCAAACTTGGCACTACAGATTTACTTCGAAGCTATATTTTATCATAAAAGGGAATGAGATTGTTTGACATAACACTGATTCAAGTTTCGTGACTCTAGTAAAACAATGCGACGCATAGACTCACAATACAGGTAACCCTCTGTTAGTTTCAGCAAGTTATGAAAGTTAACTAGAGACACAGAGCCACGCTACAAGAATACCATATGAACCACACTGAGAGTTTACTAGGAACGAATAAAAGAAATCCCAGTGAAGCTCCACTAGGAATAACTTGGAGGCAATATTTCAAATAAGTTTTATACTAAAATTATTCTGTGGACATAAAGAATCCACGACATACACAATGAGCTTTGTATAAACGAGAATACCGCATACTGAACATATCTAAGGAGGCTAGACTTCAGTGCGGTCCTACCCTGACCAGCCATGAGAATAGCATCAATGAAATCTACTAAAGAATAAAGATACACGCTTTGACGAAAATACTTCCATGAGGGCCCAATAAAATATACCTTAGCCTGCCAGGATAGCACCCAATGAGGGCCAAACAAAATATAAGCTAGTCTGTCAGGATAGCATCTCAATGAGGGCCCAACAAAATATACGCTAGTCTGCCAGGATAGCATCTCAATGAGGGCCAAACAAAATATAAGCTAGTCTGCCAGGATAGCATCTCAATGAGGGTCCAACAAAATATAAGCTAGTCTGCCAGGATAGCATCTCAATGAGGGTCCAACAAAATATATGCTAGTCTGTCAGGATAGCATCTCAATGAGGGCCCAACAAAATATAAGCTAGTCTGCCAGGATAGCATCTCAATGAGGGCCAAACAAAATATAAGCTAGTCTGCCAGGATAGCATCTCAATGAGGGTCCAACAAAATATACGCTAGTCTCCCAGTATAGCATCTCGATGAGGGCCCAACAAAATATACGCTAGTCTGCCAGGATAGCATCTCAATGAGGGCCAAACAAAATATACCTTAGTCTGCCAGGATAGCATCTCAATGAGGGCCAAACAAAATATACGCTAGCCTGCCAGGATAGCATCTAAATGAGGGCCAAACAAAATATACGCTAGTCTCCCAGGATAGCATCTCAATGAGGGCCCAACAAAATATACGCTAGTCTCCCAGGATAGCATCTCAATGAGGGCCAAACAAAATATACGCCAGCCTGCCAGGATAGCACCTCGATGAAGGCCTGATAAAATATACGCTAGTCTGTCAGGATAGCACCTCGATGAGGGTCTACTAAAGATACCCAGCCATAAGGATAACATCTCACTACGAGCCCAACAACGAGGATAGCACCTCAATCAGGCCCCAACAGATACTCAGGAGGTATCAAATCTTAGTGAGGATATACATCAGATACCCAGGATGCTTTTCCTCAGAGATCGTCAGGTAAAGAAGCCTTCGGGAAGTTCTGTTAGAATTACCAATAAGGTTCTCAGAGAAGGTCCTCCACAAGTAGGACCTCTAGAGGCCTACAGAAAGCAATAAAGCTTAAGTGATGATCTAAATCACACGTTAACACGTAACCTGTGTGATATGAGCGACTCACAGCTATGTTTTAAATACCTGATAATTCTCTACACGCAGGGTATGTGCTGTTAACAAACTTTTCAGAGATATGAATTACAAGATCAATGTTTGTTTTCGCTTCAATGGCTGGAATTAAAACCGCCAACGGAAATCGGCAAAGCTCTCCTTTGAGTTTAAAGAAATGACAGTAACAATGGGTGTACATGTTTGGTAGAACACACACATTAGCTTCAGTGCAGCTACGGTCGCCAGTCAATCACGACAACATAACGATTTTAATTTTGTCGTCCATAAGCCTTAAGCAATCATTCTAATGTAGCATTTAATCATTTGTACATTTGTAAGGTAGCTCGCCTAATGTTATCGATATTGACGTTCAGAACTACTACCATACAGAAATATACATTGTCAATCGTTATCCTGTTCTCCTGGAAATCCCTCTTCGTCGGACGATTTCTCCGCAGACTGCTGTAGTAAAGTCCTTTCACTGGCATTAAATCCAAAGGTCAAAAATATCGAAACCTTCGATCGAAAATTTGGACGTAATTGGCGACACTTAAAGACTGTCGTAGGGGACTACTGGAGACACCTACCTGCCATGTTTGGGAGGGTAACATTTCCCGTACTTGTTCGGTCCCCCACGTTACATTTTCAATCGATCACAAAAGTTCTGAGTTTGTTGCCCACTGACCTCGGTATTTTCCAACTCGAGGATTATGGCGCTCTCGTCTTGGAAGTTTTAAGCATTTAAATTCTCGTCCCCGTGATCGGAGCGCGTAATTCAATCTATACCTATGTTTACTCTAGCTGCTGTGTTAAGCCGCAGACGTAATGAGCCCGTAAATGAAGGCAAACACTTTCTACAAATTTGGTCGTTCACCAACAAAAATAAATATTTAAAAAACTGAGCAAAAATATTCATTTGGGATTTAACAGGAGTAAATGAGACTTGACAACGTCACAGCGTATACTAGTATACAGTCACGTGTCTGCGGACAAAAGATTACATCAGTGGTTAATATTTTCATTGATTAACTCAATAATTAATTTGATAAGAAATAACAAAGCGCTATCTTATTATTTGAATGGGATAAAAGTTAATAGTCGTTTCAAATCCAATGCCGAGTTCCACTGAATAATTTTGAATTATTCATTTTAATACTAGTCGAGATCATCAGAGATCTTATTATTACTTATATAGATTAACATGCGTAACCGACTCCTATAAAGCCACTTGTCTGGCAAGCTCATCCTCTTTACGGCTTAAACTTCTACATACATATAACCTCAGATGTTTCAATACAACCGACGGAATACAGGGAAGCAGAGGAGGATTATTGAATACATTGTACATTGTGAAGTACCCATAATGATGTACCATAGTTACATTGTACATTGGGAAGTAACTATAAGGATGTACCATAGTTACATTGTACATTGGGAAGTACCCACAGGGATGTACCATAGTTACATTGTACACTGGGAAGTACCCTAAGGATGTACCATAGTTACATTGTACATTTGGAATATACCCGTAAGGATGTACCATAGTTACACTGTACATTTGGAATGTGCCCATAAGGATGTACCATAGTTACATTGTACATTTGGGAAGTAACCATAAGGATGTACCATAGTTACATTGTACATTGGAAAGTAACCATAAGAATGTACCATAGTTACAATGTACACTTGGGAAGTAACCATAAGGATGTACCATAGTTACATTGTACATTGGAAAGTAACCATAAGGATGTACCATAGTTACACTGTACATTTGGGAAGTACCTGTAATAATGCTCTGTAGTTACATTGTACATTGGCAGTGCCTATACAAATACACCATAGTTACAAAGTGTTCACCAGAGTAAACAAAGACACCAAAATTTTAAGTTTGAACATCAGAGTCACACTTAAACACCAAAGTGGTAAGGGTGATCATCAGAAATACAGATAGATATCGAAGTATTAAAGGTGTAGATCATAGTTACACAAAGACATCAAAGACTTATGGATATACATTCAGAGTTACACATAGACACAAAGACTTATGGGTGTACATAATAAGACAACAAAGATTTATGAGTGTACTTCAGAGTTACATTTACACACCAAAGACATGGGTGTATATCAAATTTAAACATGGACAGCAAAGAATTATGAGTGTACATCAAAGTATAACATATAGACATCAAAGACTTATGGGTGTACATCAGAGTTATGCACAGATAAAAAAGAAGTATGGGTGTACATAAAAGTTACACAAAGACACTAAAACCTTGTGGGTGTATGTCAGAGTTACATATAGACACAAAAGACTTATGAATGTACATCAGATAAACACATAGACAACAAAGATCTGGGTGTACATAAGTTAAAACATAAACATTTAAGACGTACGTACATCAGACTTAAACATAGAGACCAAAGACTTGTTGGTGTACATAAGAGTAACAAATAGACACCAAAGGCTTATTGGTGTGCATCAGATTTACACATAGACACTAATGACTTCCGGGCATATATCAGAGTTAAGCATAGACTTATAAGACTTATTGGTGTACATCATATTTATACACAAACAACAAAGACTTATGGGTGTACATCAGAGGTACACAGAGACACTAAAGACTTATGGGTGTACGTCGGTTACACACAGACACAAAGACTTACGAAAATACTTCAGATTTACACCTAGACACCAAAGAGTTATGTACATAAGAGTTACACATAGACACTAAAGACTTATGGGTGTACGTCGGTTACACACAGACACAAAGACTTACGAAAATACTTCAGATTTACACCTAGACACCAAAGACTTATGGGTGCAAATGAGTTACACATAAACAGCAAAGACTTATGGGCGTACATCAGTGTTACACATAGACACCAAAGACTTATGGACGTACATCAGCATTACACATAGACAGCAAAGATTTATGGGCGTACATCAGCATTACACATAGACACCAAAGACTTATGGGCGTACATGAGAGTTTTAAATAGACACCGGTGTGATTGGGCACTATCTCTCTACACAGATGGATAAATGAATTTCTAAATTGAGTTGAAAAAAAAGAGAGGAAATGCAATGAAAATATGGGTACCAAAAAATCATATGAATTCTCAACAGAGTTCAATCTATACTACAGTTAAAGGGAGAGACATCCGAGTGTGCTAAAGAGTTAAAGGTTACAGATAAAGGTGTATGGTAAGGATTTTGTTGAGTATACTTGAGATTTTTTTGTACATACAGAAGTTGCAGACCATAGAGGTAATGGCCAGAAATGAAACATACACACCAAAGAGCTCACCGAATACTGCAGAAATGTTTGTGTGCACTTAAAACTTCTAATAGTGGGGCCAAAAAAATCAAGTGTAAATAATACATGTATGATAAAATATGAAATAGACAAATTTTAATGTAAAAGTACCCTCAAAACATCATCTTTCTAGATGATTTATTTTATAAAATGTTAGGTGCACATAATATTACATATACATGTATACAGTGCTTCTGAGCTCCAATGCCATACACTATATAGTCACTGTAACCGTGTTGCTGGTAAATGTACAGATTGAGGAGCTTCGATAAGATTTTACTTGTTTAGGAGAGTAATTAGAAAGCATAACAAGATAAAGTATTGTAAACATTTGACGATATTTAACTTAATTATATGTATTTCATAGTTGGATAAAACACAAGATTTTCGCTGTTGATACAATTCTACGCATGCGTATTTTACCTGGTGTCCGTGGATACATGGTTGAGGAACTATGGGTACTCCGGCTGGAATGGTGGGATATTAGACCAGGGCTACATGTCACCCCTACAATGAAAAAGGCTAAGAAAGTTAAAATGTGCACTAAACCAAAAGAAAAAGAGAAAAAATGTCGTCTTTGTTTGATTATAGTTGTCGTTCTGAAAACGATAAAAAGACAAAAACGAAAGAAATAAGATAATAATGAATTGAAGAATAAAAAGTAAAAACAAAAAGTCCATTCACCGTTGTGGCCATATGACGTATACATTACAGTTCCCCTCCTCTCTATAACTTTTAATAGGACTGTAATTAAATTATGCCGTTTGTATACGAGTCTTTTTTAACAACGTTCATTGATTGCGGAAGAACGCTTTTCAGAGGAAATGCACGGTACTGTTTAAAATTGGCAAAAATAACAAACTTCCGGCGACAATGAGCACTTTTTTCCCCTTTTGCGTATAAACTGTTTAGCAGAAGTAAAAAAACAGTGTCAGTTTCATTCTGATCCAAAGTGAAATGAGAAATACCTACAGATGACAATCGTTTATATCATTCAAAGACCGGTTGTCATGGAAATCAGACATATATCTATATATCGATCTCAAATTGGGGTTTTATGAAACACCTTATTTCCTGCAGGTTCCTATTGATGACGTCAAAATAACGCCATTCACAGCAACTTCATGTTACAAAAGTACATCATTTACATCAAATTTAATAAAGTTCTCTAAAAGGTCAGCTGATGGCGTCACTGACCATTATGGATTCGCGGCTACTTTCCTTTGGTTCAGTGAACTGAATATCTGCGTATATCGTTTTAAAACATATTCCAGGTTTAATTCTCAAACTAACGGCTAGTCTGGATAAACATATTGCAAGTTTATCGTTCAAAATATGGAACCGAGTACTGTCAATCAGATTATACCTGAATTTTTGTTCATGAAACAAAATCTCTAGGTATAGGGAAACTTTATATATGTGCATGCCTAATAATTAAATAGACACTTAGCGCTTTGGCAGGGAAGAAAAAGGGGGCCAAGCTTCGTCATACAGTGTTTACTCTAGCACTAACTAGGGATCTTTTGTACAGATTCTTATAGAGTTATATAATTACTAACAATTGTCTATCCTGGTCTCGTCTCACAGCAAAATCACTTTGTTCTTGTACTATGAGTGATGTTTATTTACTCTGACTCAATATGTTTGACATGCTAACATTTAACATTAATAGGCTGGGGCTATCTTCTGTGACAATTTCACATTAATATGCTGGGGCTTCTTTTTGTTAAAAATCAATTTCAATCTGGTCTCTATTAAATGTCTTAAGAGTAAACCCTTTTCCTCATTGGCAAATTCGTGTATCAATTAACAATATGTTTCCTTAATTCATTATTATTGCCTATAATTAACAATCACATTTAATAGATTTATCAACAAGATGAAGAAAGACGAATTTGCTTGTATTGTGTACTTCATATGTTTCACTCAAAGTGGAATGTTTTTTAGATGTATTACATGTATATCCGTCAGCATAGTTGATTTACAGAAGATGATAGTGGAATAAGATTGTACTTGCTAATTATCTTTATTATATGTCGTGATAACGTTTTAATAATCTTCAAGTAACCCTCGATGGAGAGGAAGATTTAAATCATCAGTATCTCTCAAATACTCATTATAATTAAGTACCTGATCAACTTGTATTTATTTCTTTAAGTGAACAATTATTCATTTGTTTGTTATTATAGATAGGTTTATTTACTTTAAACAGAATTTATTTAAAAATAAAAATGGCGACATAAATAAGCCTCAATCCGGTCATTGTTTCTTCAGAGATTATATTCTTAGTAATCTTCTGGCACTGCTCTCCAGTAAACAACAGATTAATACATATTTAATGTTGTACAGTTAATAATTCGGAGGACTCTTGTCAACATCTTGATATAAAACGTAAAGTTTAGGTACCCAGTGCCCTCACACAACTTAAAAAGATAAAGCGGACTTAACCGAACTGCACGGTATTTAATTATAGAATTTTACAGTGATTTAAAGATGATTACAGCAATAACACACTCACCTCTCTAATCCACGGAAAAGTGAAACTGACAGAGAAATACAGGACTGCCCACATCTATAGCCCCAGAGAACGTGAAACCGACAGACAATAGGACTACCTACCTAACGATTTCACCGACATTCCCAGCAAAGCTACTATGCCCGCTGTCTGTCTATTTGACACATCTTATGACGTCACAAAGACACAAGATAACGGAGAGGGAGAGATAACGAGGACACAAGAATCCCTCCCGAAATCTCACGTGCACTTTCCCGCGACTGGAACTTCGTGTGACTACGATGAGTACACTTCTGGGGCTGCGTTTGTGAATTTGAATGAAACTAAATTATTTTCGTAGGATATGACTTTTTGAAAGATTTATTAAAAGGAATTATGAATTGTTAGCCTTTGACCAGATGATAACATCTCGCTTTGTTTCGTTATGCCTGCGATAACACACAACGCTACTGGGTCTTCCTAATTGAATAAGACATTTATGGCAGAAGAATTGCATTCCAGATAATTTGGATAAAGTGAGAATAAATTTGACCTACTCTACGGACAATGACTTCGTGAAGATCATGATTAACAATAGGGACATGTGGGAACAGAGTTTGATTTCCAGCAGGCTGTGAGGGAATCAGGATCGGTAAATCCAACGAAGGAGGCCACCCTTGTCGTCTAAGATGAGGATTGACAAACACTGAAAGCTTATGATTTAATAAACTAATTCCGCCTTGTTTATCCACATGGAATTTACGCGAAGTATTTCGCTAGTGATGGAAGAAAAAAAGTGCCGAGCAGTTTAGGGGGATCTTTACCCTAATTATGACAGAGCACGACAGCCGCTGATCTTTTTTTCAGTAAAATAATTCATATTCTATTATCATATTTATTTTACAGACCACCCGGCTTATTTCGAGTATATTTATTTATTTAAACTTTACAATCAAAATGTCCGTCTGTGAAAACACTATTAACCTATGCATGATAAACACAATTAAAAAAACTATATTTGGTGAATAAATTGTATTTTTCATAAATCATGATAAATGAATGAACGAAAGTGGAATATGGAAGGACGTAATTATCAGCTGCTATAATGGTATACAACTTTAATTAACTTACAATTTCTTAATTAATTTGCGTATTACTTATTGTTTCGGAATTTTTCATATGTACATAATTTGCACCTTGATTAAATTCTTATACAATGGTCATGGATTGAATATTTCTTAAAAATAAAATATTAATAATATTGATATTACTTTTATCATATGAGACAAAGAAAAAGACATTTGTGTTATTGTAGAGTGTGTGTGTACGTGTGTCTGATTTAGAATTGACAGGGTGGTATAGTAAATGCATCATATAAGTTAATACCTTATAGAGGATTCTTAAAATTGTCAACATTTGTGTGGAAAAACTTAAACATCTTGTATTGTAGGTCTTATCATCTCTTGTTTCAGTTAAAACTCACAAGTGAGAAGATTTTTATGCTCTTTTTCATTGAAAACAATCACAAATGATTAAGTATACGAAATAATATTTGTTTCCTGATATTTGATTTTTGTGTGAATTTGAAACAAGGGAGCCAAAATTATACTTGTAATTATCAAGTCTCAATTAGCAAGTGAGGAATCCAATGAAGAATGACTCCAGATTTTAAATCAAATCCGATTCTCCATATTTTGTTTCAGCACGTTTCAACAACCAAGAAGAAAGAAGAGAAGTGTTAATTCAACACGAACAGATCTGTTTTATCAGCCGCTATTACCCACCCTAGCGTACAACATGCCAGGAAAATAATTCCAGGATCAAATCAAGATCTTTTAATTGCACGCTTCTGAATTTTAAGAATTTATTAGATGGTGCAGTTCAGTACGATTTTTTTTTATCTCCTACGATATTAAAGTAAAACCAAACAGAGCCCTGCGTTGTCTACATGTATATCTATTTTAAAACTTCAAACACTATACGTAACCTCTGGATGAATAGGGTCGCGTTCAGTTCGTATGTAACCTGGAGGAATAGGGTCGCGTTCAGTTCGTATGATGCGATTACTACCCATTCGGAAAAGGACGTTGATACACATATCCAAATGTTTTAGGACAAATAATTAATAAGATATGTAACTTGGTTGATTTGATTTTACATATTTTTTACTTAAATGCATGTATCAAATTTATTTGGTACAAAATGAATAAATATTTGTTTTAAACAAAACTTTTATGTTTTAAAAAAATACAAACTACAAAGAAAGAATATGTTGAATATTTTGACTTCCTTAAAATTATCTGAATTGGGTATGTTTAATTCCTTGTCAGTACTCATCGAGATAAATAAAATAAACAGATTACCAGACAGGTTTATTCGTATTTTTGGGCGTCAAGTGACCAAGTGCTAAAGCAACAATCTTCTTACTCAAACATTTATACAGACATGAAAAAACCCACGCAACAGCCACTCGTCTTATATGGATGAAAGTCTTACATCTGTCTTACATCTGATATATGTGTATAATTTTCAGTTTGGGGACAGGTGTTAAATGACTTTTTAATTTTGTTTTAAGCATCACTTAATGTAACGTGTTTTTTTTTTCTTCTTTCAGCTTTAATTTTCCATAAGCTCCGAAGGTTATGACATTACCAGTACGTTAACGAAAGAACTGGGCGGATATAACATAAAAATAATCAGATCTAAGTCTCTTGATTAATAAGGAATGATAATAAATAAACATGGTATAGGCAAATCTTTAGATACAGTAAATCAAATCATAGATATGTTGATTCTGCAAGAAAGAAGGATTACGGTAGACTTGATCAGTTTTCAGACTAGCTTCAACCGAACTCTGGGCTGAGATGCTCCACCAGGTCTAATCTCTGCCACCAACAAACAAACATACCTGACCAGCCCTTCTCCCTTAAAATATCTTCATCACCAAAAACAGCATCACTTCATTTACAGGACATGACAAGGCATGAATTGTGACGGAAAGACAGAAAATGCTTTGTATTAGAGTTCTATCCGACCAGGATTCAACCTCCATTTTCATTTGAAGGCATTCCAAACAGGTGCTCTACATGCTCTACAAAGAAAGTAACCTCTCTGGCCGCGAACCTGCCTGACCGGTACATATGTTATGAAGGTAATAAATGACCATCAAAGACACTGAACAGTATATAATTTAGAAGATATCATTTAATCTCCTGATAAGTAAGTAATTTGGATCAACAGCATAATTGTTATGGCGCCTTTTTTTTTAAATCGTAATGATACATGTATGAAATGAGGAATGTCGAATCCGCCCATACGGTAATATGTAGTTAACCGTTTACTATCCTTCTATCAGAAGCTAACTAACCCTCAAATGAATACAGATTTATAAGCACTTTCCCATATGGATTTGAACTCTTTTGTGTAAATTCGTAAAATCATATACTACATGTGGTCAACTGACAGCTAATTAATTTCTTAGTGATTAAATATATATGTCCATGAATGAGTTGATCATAGTTGAAAGTACTCAAGCTTTACGTCATTTCCTGTCACATGACTTTGATTGATTGATTGTTTGTTGTTTACGTCCCTCTCGAGAATTTTTCACTCATATGGAGACGCCACCACTTGCCGGTGGAGGGCTACAAATCTTTACCTTTACTCGGCACTTAGGACCATTGAGCAGTGAGGGATTTTTTTCGTGCCAGCACTTACTACTGCGACACGGGACCTCAGTTTATACGGTCTCATCCGAAGGACCGGTCTCCACGTCCCGCAGTGGGATTCGAACCCGCGACGTAAGGATCAACTCCATGACTTTGATTAAAACAAGTGTTCATGTTCATCAAAAACAAGTATTTTTAAGGAAGAATTTAAAGGGACCCTTTATGAACCAATTTAAAATGACAAGCAAATGTTCGTAAGGAAGCTTTAAACATTATTTTGGAGTTTGAGAACATTATATAATATAAAGGTATACATATTGAGATTACATGTATCTAGTTCATTTTCAACATCTATTTGGCTACCTGTCATATATCCCCAGGAAAAAATATACAAAGATAATGAATTATCAGTGAACAGAAATCACTGCTGTTAACTTAAATATTCTCTTTAGTGGACAGACTTAAGCCTACATCCACCTCTTCGCAAACCTTTTTTCTGGAAACGATGTAATTATGGAACCCACCGTAACCCGTGACGGACTGTACTTCAACTGATATTTCGATTCAACCATGCATTTAATTACATAATAGATATGTCATTTCTACACTTTTAATATAATAAATGCATATGCAACTAACACCTACTCCTTTTTAATCCTTCGTCTTGCTTCATACTCTCAATATTTTCTATTCCGGATTTAAAATTATGAGCAAGTAACTCGTGACGGATTAATAAAAAAATCTTTCATTTTGGATAAAACCGGAAATATTTTTTACAAAATAATGAAAAGGAAAAATCATCTACTTTTTTAAATTTTACGGGGCAGTATTTCTTCATTTTTTGTTCGAATTCTTTTGATCTGTTATTTTTTTAAAAATCATTTTTCAGGAAAGAAAAAGTTCCTATCGTGTAAAAATAAAAGAAAAGATTTTGCAATATTGAAATAAAGAAAGTAATGAATTTAGCTTTAAAGTTCAGAGTTAAATTGTATTAAAATACTGAAATCATATATTATCAATTACATTAAGTCAGAATTAATCAAAAAGTAACATGTCAAAAATATTTTTGAACAACAAAATACGTGTTTATAATTTTATCAAAATTTTTCCTTTTAGAATTTTCGATTTTTTCTAATAATCTGTGGTAGATAATCATTACTTTAAATCCGGGGTGAAGAACTTGTGAAAATGGATTAACAACAAGTGAGCATTTTTTAAAGTTTGTTTTTATGATACAATTGTAGAAACAGCATTACGTAAGTTCAGGCATATTTGGGTCGAAATATCAGTTGAATTGTATACCGTCACCGATTCGACATTTACACGAAAAAATGAAGGTTTGCAAAGAGAATTGGAGGTAGACTGCTCTAAAGAGAACACTGTTTACGTATACTGTGAAAATACATGTAAATAATGTTTTCAATTACTCTATCTTGGTCTAATATAATGTTAAGAATATTTTTGGCTTTAAAAATATTTCATTCATTGGATGAATTGGTGCCTTATTATGTAAGTGGAGATTTATCATATACCGCTAATATAGTTAATGTATCAGTTTTTCTCTTGTGTCTATATAAATATTGATCTCATTAGCTAGTTAACGTGAGACGTGCATCACACAGTGTCAAGTTGTTTTTAAATTAGGGATTTGTTTAAAGTATATTTCTTGGTATTAAATGAACAAAACTGTGATTAATTTCACAAGATACAATATGTAATAAAAACTGTCAGCGAGGAGAATGTTTGAAGGTTCAATGATTTACATGTAGTAACCAAATATAGTTTCAGAAGCGAGTATAAACTAATAACCAATTGGTCATTTGATTGAATGTGACCAAAATACGTCAAATTGATACATTAAAATCAAGTAAACAATTGGCGTAATTTCATTTTTTTTTAAAGATTTTTCATGATAAAATTCAATTTTTGGCACAAGAAAGCCGTTTTACGGTCAACTAACCAACGCAATACTCTAGCTATCAAATCATCGTGTTCTTTGTATTCGGGCAATACATTCTGGATAAGATTTTTCCTACCCTCTGATTCTAGACTACGTATTAACAGTGAGGTGCCCGTGGTATCACTCAAATAGATAAAAAGGATTATAACCAACAATTGCTCTTAGTGATTTTGGTCTTCGTGTAGTGATTTTAATCACGTTTTTGAAATTAATCCTATCATGAAATTATCGTTAAGAATAATTAGAGGATGCTTCAAATTAAATGTAATTATTAAAAAAATAATAATAAGAGGATGCTTCAAATTTAATGATTTTTCTAAATAATTAGAGAATGCTTCATATTTTTATAGAATCAGTAAAAGTCTACAGTTTTGTTGTTTTACAAATTTGTTTTTTGAATTATGAAAAAATACATCATAGATTCATATACATGAATTTATCTACAACTACATACAGCCTCAAAGACCTGAACTTCCAGTGAGGGAGATAATAAAAAGGGAATTTAAACTTTTCCCCCTCATATTCAATACCAAACACACACATTCGGTAAACACACTCGACTATTTAACGCCTGGTGAAGGATTCGGTGAATTGATCCATGTTTCTGATTACCTATTAAACATTTGCCCTTCAATCGTTTTCTTTTTATCAGTGTTTAGTTGCAGCCGTAGGTTATTCATTTAATGGCTCCCTGTCGCGTAATCGAGAATAAATTAATACAGGTAAACTTTAAAGTTTAGATTCACAGTTTAGTGAGAAAAAAAAAATTACACTTAAATTAAAATTTATCTCCCACATCACATATGTTGTTTTCGATTGAAATATATTGAGAGAAACACATTCTGTGACTGAAAACTCTTGGGTTATATAATACATATAATTTGAAGGATGGATTCAAAGTTCAGAATATTTAAGGATCTATAATTTTCAATTTTCCTTAACTTGACTCTCTCTCTCTCTCTCTCTCTCTCTCATCAAGTTATATAAAATTATATCTAAACGAACATACAGTTTTCCAGTAACAGATCAAGTAAATCGGTATATTATGTTGGTATATTACGTAAGCTGTAGTATTGACATGCGAAGAGACTGATACAGAGTTAAACCCCTTACCTGTGATAACCATATCGTTGACAGGAGATCGCCGGCCCTGGCGCCTGTGGGGTGCCACCCCGGGGAGAGGCGGTAGTCTCCGGTGGGTCATCTGTCGGACAGGAGAGGACATTATCCATGGACTCACATCTCCTTAATCCGGTCAAACAGCAAATACACAGCAATTCACCAGAAGCCACTTTATACGATTTTATTCATTTAAATACCAATGACTGAGGAGTGCGCGGATTACAGAGCCAAAATCATTTTCACCTGATGGTAATTCGCGATGTTTGGATCAGCAGGAGAAAGATCGGGAGAGAGGCGGCGTTAATGGGCGTGATGTCGACATCGTCAACCACAGCATCAAAAATCGATCTCGGAATTTGTCCCCGGCCTTCCGTCAAAGCAGACGACAGTGCTCTCGAGCTTCCTCTTGGTTATGACGTCAAACGATATGATCAGCTTTTGAGAATTAATTGAAAAAATGCGGTTGCTATTGACGACGAATCCACGCTCGCTGAAAGAGGAATTTATGTAAAAAGTATAAATGTACAGCTGATTTGAGAGTAAAGAATCTGATTAAATAATTTCGATGGATTTCGACCTGCATCATACCGTGTAACAAGACTGTGGCCATAAGGAAAACATAAAATTTCAAAATATATAATTATACACAAGTATACAAATTTACCGGGAGGGCATGTTTCGAACATTTATATAAAAGATTATCGAGTACGTTGGGGCCATTTATTTTAGGAAACATTGAAACATTTCTCTTAATATTAGTAAAAATCTGTATGCGAAGTCGATCTGTTGTGGTTGAAACGAAAATAAAACATTTTGTTTCCGTTAGGCCTTGGAAAAAAAAAGGACGATCAATTTATAGAATTTATGAATGGTTCTCAGATTTACACAGAAGAAAAGTTTATCAATAATGAAAGAAAAAATAATCTTCAAATGACTTTTGTTTTAAGTTCAAATCGGTCACTACCGTATAGATCATAAAAACAAGATTTCTAACACGCTGGAAGGGAGGTAAACAGCACAGAAACCTGTCGTATTGATCAATAATTCTATTGTTATAGAACGACCACTGAGTATTTTTACCCCATTTTCTACACATTTAATTACATTCTATTATGTGTTCCAATGGCTACATTACATTATTTTACGATAAATAATCATCTCGCTATTAAAAGACATACCTGCAAATAATTCCTCCATAAAAATTGGCAAATAATTGCATTGAACAAGGTGTCAAATCGTCTTTAAAAGAGATTATTTCCTTTTTTCCTTTTGCTAAATTTGAAAGGCAGAACACTATTTATCCATGGAAATACACAAATATTGTGCTTGTCTTAGTAGAAAAAATGCCACACTTCATTTCTCGCGAGGCAGAGTTTAACACTTTAGATAAACATAAATCGAAGGTGAACTCCTAAGTACCCATTCAAAAATATTGATTTAAAGAGATATGTAACATTTTATTTGTGAAAACAGCGTAATTATGGAGATATACATATGTGCCTCTTGGAACTTTATATACGAATGAAAGGATTTCTTTATAAAAAAGAAGAAATCTCTCGATCAAGCGAAAGAAATAGTTTCTCATATGAAAAAAATCGATGTTTCTCTGTACTATGATATTATCTTGCAAGTTTCTAGGTAATTAAAAAAAAAAGAAATAAAAATTCATTACATAACACCCATTGTAAAGGTCCCCCTTGAAGCGATTTAAGTCAATTCTAATTACTTGTTATATTTAATTCATAATGCCCCGTTTTTTAATCTCCTTTGAACGTGACGCACTCGGTTTCACTCGTTAAATGTCGGTAAAATCCGTGATTATCGAAGCGTCATTAGCAACAAGGTAACAGTGTATTGGCTATAGCTCTGGGCCTATTCAACAAAGATTGGATTGCTGTTAATCATCATTGGATTCAACGTAAATATTTATCAAGAAAGAAAATTCTTCAAAGCCATTTAAAAAGACAAAAAATTAGAACTTTCATTCATTGTTTGAGAGAACTCCATCATGGGATGTAAACATTCAAAAGGTGCGATCCGAATTCAGCCTGTGGGACCGGCTGAAATCCGGAGAGACAATTCTAAACTGAAGAAATGCAACAGTGATATGAACATAGAGGTAGATCCCAGCCGCAGGGCCGGGAAAAAGAGCGCTATGCGCCGGACAAAATCCCAGAAATCCACCGGGAGTCATCTAACAGCGTCGTGTGCCAGTCTGGACTCTCAGCTTTCCTATACCGACTCTCCCCGGGGACAAAGTGCCACTTCTAAAGTCTCTAAACATAGCACAGACTCAGGACTCGGGGAGGAGTACGCCCACGTAATCACGGAGTTCTCCCCCGAAAGCGATATCCAGAAAATTGAGGAGGAATTTCGGGAGAATGAAGGACTCGGTAAGTTGTCAGTCATATTAAGTACTTGCTTCATTAACACAATAGTACGAGGCAATGGAATTTACTGGATTAAGAAGCTCCTATACGTTAAATATATATACCTATATTTGAGTCGCACATTTTTTTTAAATGAAAAAAGAGAGAGAAAATGCATGTACTAAACATACTTGGTTTCATCTCAAGTTTATAGATTTAATTGTTTGTTTATTGTATGTAGAAGGAGTACGTTTAGTCCCCATTTCAGATTTCTATGCATAAAAGATTATTCCAGCTATACTTTCCACATCGAACACGTATTAGATATCATACAGTCACTTACTTATTTGTTTATGAAATACAATTGTGTACCCTGGAAAGAATTTCATTTTAATTTTTATTTATTGTTATTTTTTTAAAGTCAAAGTGAATAATTTCAAATTTATAGTTGACTGTTTTCAACCAGTAACACAGTTTTTGTCCTTTTTTAGAACATCGATTTTTATTATCTTACAATTCTAACCAACTCAAACAAAAACTTCCTGTCAAATGCAAATCAATTTCCTCTTTTTATATTGTTGAACTTCTTTTATCAAACCCTTGACAATGTAAATCTGGAACGGAGGATTTCTTGATAACTGTGGTTCTTTTTTCGTTCTGTTTTATCGTCGATTCCTGTGATTGTAAATCGGCATATCACAGGTACAGACAGGTACTAACGCGTGCTGTACTGTTAACCGTGCACCATTTAATTAAAGGCAATTTACCATTTAATTATTCAGAACAGTGATGTTTAACATCAATTCCCGCTAAGTATTGATTTGACATCGTTCTTGACACGTAATTAAAGCCCTAATTAATTAATACCAATGTATTGCTGATTCACCAAATCTACCGCTGTCGTCAAAAATTATACAGCTAACATACTGTAGTCAAAAAAATTATGCTGTTTTAGTTACCTTTAAAATTTAATTATTATTTTTTTTAGATTAAAAAAAATATCATTGTTTTGAGAATACGATCTATACAAAGGCATGTATATGAATTTATAAACAATTACGCTGTAGAAAAAAAATAAAGCTAAACAAAGACGGAAAAATACCCAAGATCTGGTTACCCTATATTGTTAACATACACACGAAAGTACTGCATGACCTAGATGAACAAGTGTCAGATTTCCTACAGGTAAAAGTAGGTAAAAAGGGGGATTTTATCAATCCGATTAATAATTAGTATTATGTTAAATACCGCAAAGCGCTATAAACGTATTAATGTATTGTAAAAGGATAGATTTTCTCGGTTAATGAAGCTTTTGTTACTGGTGATTTAAACAGTGATGCTTTTCAGTTATTTATCGAATTCTCTGTTATATATTTACAATTGAAAAAAAAATCTATTAGATTTTTAAAACTTCGAAATGGAATTGACTTTTGTTAAAAAATAAATAAGAACCAAATATTTGCCATCAGTCGATAGAAGGCGCGCCAGGATTCTGGACAGTAATCGACCTGGGAACACAATCGTCTCTCCTGTCAACGTTTACAAGTCATATGACTAATAAATGGTCACGTGATTTTTTTTTTAAAATTTTAATTTCATTATTCGTCCAATATGGAGAAAAATAGTCTGCTGTGATATGTTTTTTTTTTTTTTTTTTTTTTTTTTTTTTTTTTTTTTAATTGCTAAATACATCAAAATATTGAAACAAAAACTTCAAACTGTGACATCCTTAAGTTTAAATTAATTTTATGTGGAGTCGAATCACTGAATGATAGCTAGAGCAAAGGTCGTGCTAAATAACGCGTAGTACTAAGTAAAAAAGGAAAATTGCTAGGACTTGTGTAGCTTTTAATAGTGTCCCCCACCATCTACTTTGAGATGACAGTCAAGGAATTTTCTTACAAAACTTTAAGAGTTTTTCTTCAATTTTTATGGAACAACTTAGCACTGACAAATTGAACATCAAACATTATTAATTCTGCCTGTTTATAAATAATATATATATCTGAAGTTAATTAATTAAAACAAACATTAAAACAAAACAATATCTTGAGCGGGACACACAATTACAAGTATGAATAAAATTATATTTCAGATTTGGGGATTTCTGGAACGGCAATCCCTGTGCGAACGAGTGCCAAAGACCGCGAGAGGATGCAGGAAGCCATGATTATGCAGGCCTTGAGAGAGGAGGGGCTAATTGCCCGACCTCAGGCCCAAGGCGCTTCTGGGGTCAGTTTTGAAATAACAGAAGACGGCGCTATGATGAGGCGACCACCTCCACGACTAGAAAAGCTGGAGAAAAGAAGAAAGAAGAAGAGGGCACTAACTGAGGATGAGATCAAAGAGAAACTAGAGAGAGCAGAAAGGAGAAAAAGGGTATGACGTAACAATTGTCGAACCCGATAAAAAATACAGCTTTTTTTCAAAAGGAAAATGCTCTTCAAGAACTTGTTTTATAAGAGATTTTCATTCTTTATCAGTAATTGTATGTATCTTTTTATACTTACAGAGGAAAGAACAGGAACGCTTAGAAAAAATCAAAGAAAAAGAAAGGACAAATCCAAATGATGCACTAGAGGCGTTTGCACAGATGCAAAAAGAAAAAGAGGAACAAGTGAACAAAAAATTAGACTCTGTTTCCGACAAACGGGAGAAAATGCTGAAGGAGAGACAGGAGAGACAAAAAGAAAGACAGAGACGGGCCGAGCTAGTCCGGCAACGAAAACAAATGGCTTCCATGGAAGCCAATGACCAAGAAGATGACGTCATACCCACCGGAAATCAACTAGATCGATCCTAATCCCGAAGTTAATATTAATTTTTACATCTAGTCTTGTTTGGAGCTTGTTTATATCACTGCTTCCACAGTTCAGGGGGAAATCAAAGTTTATCTGCTGCATAATATTGTTCCGACACATATCTGTACAGTAGGAATTAGAATCTTATCAGTATCTTTGTGGACAAATGAGCGCAATTCAGAGATGAACATTCATATTTACATCTTAGAAAAAAGTTGCTTTTTTTTTCATTAATTTATTTTCACAAAGTGAAATGTTTACATTAGTGGAAGGATGAAAAGTCTGCTTTTAATAAGTTGACTTTTTAAATTCTTTCCCGAGAGAATTAGAACTAAAATAATCAGTATTGTTTTTGATAAAATGTTGCAGTATTTGTCTAGCCAGTATTAAAGTTTTGTATCTTAGCTCAGTATTATCATACCTTCAAGGTTGGATACTTTTACACTGTGATATGTATGTATATACATTATATAGATTTATTTATGAATTTTGTCAATATGTCTGCCAGTGTGTGAGATATACTCAGGACATGGGAACACTACATTTATAAATAATCATGTTTTTATCATTATATAATTAACAAGTGTTGCATTCCCGACTATATATCAGGTGATGCTACTGTTTGTTATTAAAATGCATCTGTTTGTTGTCATCTTGTTTTTCTCGGAAACATCTGAAGAGATAATAAATTTGCTTAATGACATACGTATAAGGATAAAGGATATGGTCATACTACATATTTCAAGAAACAACAGAGAAAACTTACACTTGCTTTCATATGTGTATTTCGGTCTAGCATATTTGAGACAGGCACAAGTGAGTTAAGGCTAGGTATAGAAGTTTCTTTGCAAGTGAGATTATGAGATTATTAAAACACATGAGGTACATGTATATTTATTACACAGAGAACCATATATATATATAGAGAGAGAGAGAGATAACTAGGGCTAGTGTTAATTAATATTAATGTGTGGGTAAACAATTAAATCAGAAAGTGTTGATATTTATTGCATCAGAGGAAATGCAAAAGGTTTGTCCGAAATAGCGACACCGAAATTCAAAGCACGAGCGGCAAAGGCAGCTTTAACTGTCCATATTCAGTATTTGGTGGAAAACGACAAGTCTACGAAAAGTGTTGACAAATACTTACTTTCAGGTTTGCCTGCTTTACGGTTTGTTCTGGAAAGGTATTTCAACAGCGAGTTGAAAACAGACATTATGAAAGTGCCAAAATTTAAGAAAGCAGATGATGTTTTTCTTGCGGATTGTGTCAGTCAAAAACGTGTTAGACTGGGAAAAACAGAGCACACACCGGCTATAGCGGGAGATGACGTAAAACTATTTAACCATACAAAGCTTGTAACAATATCATAGTCTTTGTTTGTAAGGCTCATAATTTACAACTGTATTTTAGAAAAACTCAGTTCTAGTTCTACATGTATATGTGGTAATCCGAATTACCCAAACTTCCCTTTCTAAAGATGAAATTCTTCAAAACCACCTTTAAGTTTTAATTACTTTTTAGTATTAAAAATAGATATATCTGAAATATGTGGAGATAACGAACAGTATTCGAGCTCAAAAGTCCATGAAACATTTACAAAATAGGAGTAGAGCAAACACGGACCTCTAAGACATCAGAGGTGGGGTTAGGTGCCATGGAGGAGTTAGCATCTCCTGCCTACCGGTCACACCCGCTGTGTGCTCCTTGTCATGATCGGGAAATAACGGAAAAATCCGTCGACAAATCAGTGTGCAAGTAATGGCCTAACAATTAGTATGAGAAAAGTCAGTTAGCATTATATTTGACTTAATGAAAGATTGTATTTGCTGACAAGGTCTTTGTATCGACCATAGAACTTACGAAATGATGACTTTAAACGAGACAGCTGATATTCTTGTTTCATCAACTTGTTTGTCAATAATTTATATACCTCGTTTTAGAAATTGTTCATACGTAGAGCATGCTCTTGCGTATCGAATCAACTGAGAGATATAAACCCCATATGCAGTTGACAAGGGTATATTGCTGCACATGTAAGGGAAGTTGACGATTGAAAAGTTGAAGTCATCACGTTTATCAGAAAGTCTTTCAAAACGTGAAATGTGAAAAAATGTGAAATCTTTCAAAACGTTACCAGTCATTGGAAATGAGTTTGATTTACCGTACCTTTACTGGATACATAAGCTTAAAAAATCCTTACAAAGAAAGATATATATTACAGGATTCAGTAAATGTTCAACCAAGCCCCTATCATTACTCCTCACCAAAATATTAACAGCTCTGAAAGAGAAACTTCAGACGTATTGTGCAATTACTTATTCAAGACTTTTCAGCAACTTAAAAACCTTTAACCTTTCAAGCATCAATATCATCAAAACATATGACTTTTCTACGACCATTCCCCACGATAAATTAAAGTTAAAGCTTTTTTGATATCATTGACAGCTGCTTGTAAATTTACTTACCTTGTTATTGGTCATTTGCAAAATTATTTTGTTAAAACATACTGATTGTACACACAAGTACAATCTGAAGTTGACATAAGTTTTTGGAGACCAGGTCTTCCAACAATCTGTTGGAATTTCCATGGGTACCAATTTCGCCCCTTTATCAGCAGACCTTTTTTGTATTCATATAAAGCAAAATTTATTCAAAATCTTATACATGAGAAAAAGAAAATACTTGCTGTGGCCTTCAACTCGACATTTAGATATATGGACGACGTATTATCAATTAACAATTGTTACTTCCATTCATGTGTCGACTCGATATACCCAGTGAGCTTGAAATAAAAGATACCACAGAGTCTCACACATCTGTTTCATATTTGGATATTTTATTAGGAAAAGACGTTAATGGTAACCTAACAACCAAGCTATATGATTATAAACGTGATGATTTCAACTTTTCAATCGTCAACTTCCTTTACTTATGTAGCAATATACCCTTATCACTTGCATATGGTGTTTATGTCTCTCAGTTGATTCGATACGCAAAAACATGCTCTACGTACGATCAATTTCTAAAACGAGGCAAGCTATTAACAAACAAGTAGATGAAACAAGAATATCAACAGTCTCCTTTAAAGTCATCATTTCGCAAATTGTATGGTCGAAACAATGACCTTGTCAGCAAATACAATCAATCATTAGGTCAAATGCTGACTGAGTTTTTCATACTAATTGTTAGGCCATTATTTACACACTGAATTGTTGATGATTTTTTCCGTTTTCCCCGATCATGACAAGGAGCATACGGCGGGTGTGACCGGTCGGCCGGGGATGCAGAATGACTCAAGGCAAAGACCGGAGTGAAGCAAGGCTGCGTTTTGTTCCTTTTCCTCCTTGCGTTATACTGGTTTATGAAAAAAAAAACAACTACTTTGGAGTGACAAAAGAAATTAGATGGAATTTTACTCATCCCTGGAAGACAAAGATTCTGCAGATAACATAGCTCTCTAGCATCAACGTTTCAAGATCTAAGTGAAAAGACCAGGAAATTAATATCGGAAGAGCAAGAAAAGGATTTAACTTAATTAAATGCAAAGAAAAGTAAAACATGGAGGGCTGATTACACGAGGAATAGATATGTAATCACTATGGCATGTCAAACATTGCAATATTCGTTCTATTCCATTTGTATTGTATAATTTTCCATTCGTATTGTATAATTTTTCCATTTCTATTGTACATTTTACAATTTATATTGTAGAATTTTTATTTGTGTTCTATAATTTTCCATTTTTATTGTATGTTTTTCTTTTGTATTGTACATTTTTTAGCTGTATTCTATAATTATTATTTTATTCTATATTTCATTATTTAAATTTCCAATTGTATTGTACCGTCACGGTAGCTCAGTCGGTAGAGCGCTCGCTCCGTGATCGGAAGGTCGTGAGTTCGCACCTCGGCCGCGACTTACCTAAGTCGATAAAAGTAGGTAGCAACTGTTCCTTCGCCAAGCGCTTGGCACTTTAAAGTGAAAGTTGCAGGGCCTTCGGATGAGACCTTAAAAACCGAGGCCCCGTGTCACGGCAGGCGTTGGCACAATAAAGATCCCTCACTGCTCAATGGCCCTAAGTGCCACGTAAAGGTCTAAATTTGAAGCCCTTCACTGGTTTATGGTGACTTCTCTATATGAGTGAAAAATTCTCGAATGGGACGTAAATACAAATAATCAATCAATCAATTCAATTGTATTGTATAATACATTAATACACAACTTGCATTCTATAATGTTTCAATTTGTATTGTTTATGAATTCTATTTGTATTCTTCGATAATGAAATATCTTTGAATTAAAAAAATTAACATCGAAACAAATGGAATTCCTAAACAATAAATATTACAGAATGTGTATGGCTTATTATACAATACAAATTCAGATCACCAAAATATACAAAAAAAAAACTACTTGCATTCTAAATTACCTTCTAGGATTAGATGGCAAGAATGATGAAAAAAGCAAGAATAGGTAACATCAGCTGAGAAGAAGGAACTGGATAGGGCAATACTAAAAAGAGAGGGCAAAGAGGACTGTAATACATCTTCGTGGTGGCAGCCAGAAGGAATCGAGCGAGATGAAGACCAAAGACAACCCGGAGAAGAGCAGTCGAAAAAATAGGAATTCAGTTGGTTGGCAAATTTGGAACACCACCAAAACAGCAGCAGGGGACAGAAAAAGATGGAAAAAGTCTGTCGGCCTAGACGTCGAGAATTTCAAAGTAAAATAAGATCAAACTTCAAGCTCATATGGCTGAAGATTGGTTCAGCCCACTGGGAATTAAATGCAATGAACTCAAAGAGTCTTGCAACAAATGTAAAAGTTCGAAAATAAACGATCATAAAAAGTCTCAAATATAAATTTCCGAAGGGGCAAATGTTGCCGATGAATTCAATCATACGATGACTATTTTTCAGACATATGTTACAATGGAGTAATAAGTACCTTTGGCAGAGACAACACCTGCTGTGGATGGAACTATAACATAGTACCTTGAC